ACCTTCGACCCCATACATGCAATGGATCCACCACATCACTGCTGCTGCCACGCCCCTTTCCCTGGAAAAGGGCATATTGCACTCGTCTAAAGGTTTGTCTACTCGCTCAAAGCATCGTGGCTGTCAAGCCAGTCAGGTATTTATTCCTCAGTACTCTCACTCCTGTCGATCAGTTGTCCGTCCTGGAAGAGCAGGTCAAAGCCCGGTTGCCTTTCGCGCGACTCAAAGTTTCAACTCATTCCACAAGTCACCGTGAAAGTACTTCTACTCAGTGCAGGTTCTTTCCACTCCGCTCACTCAAATAGTCGGAACACAGCGTCATGGCTGTCGATGAGCTGCCCGTCCGGAAGAGCAGGTTAAAGCCCGAGTTGCCCACGATGGCACACGAGTTGAACAGGGCGTTCTGCAGCAGGTCGCTGCCTGGCAGATGCTCCAACAGCGCCTGCGAGACCATGGGCTCCAGCTCCATCAGCTTGCCCTGTTGTGGAGACAGGATAGAAAGGAGACGGGAAAGGCAAAGGAGAGAAGATGAAATACAGGCTGAGTCACATCAGTCTGCCTGGCAGGTGCTCCAACAGCACCTGGGAGACCATGGGCTCCAGCTCCATCAGCTTGCCCTGTTGTGGAGGGAGGGAGATATGGGAGGGAAACAATACACAAGGAATGAGATGAGGGTACGGGATGGGGGTTCACAGAGCATGGGGAGTTTGAGTTGAACAGGGCGTTCTGCAGCAGGTCGCTGCCTGGCAGATGCTCCAACAGCGCCTGCGAGACCATGGGCTCCAGCTCCATCAGCTTTCCCTGTTGTGGAGAGAGAGGGACAACAGATGAGGGAAGACAACAACACCTAAGGACGAGCAGTAGAGGGCCGCAGGCCGCTGCCTGGGAGATGCTTCAGCAGTGCCTGAGACACCATGGGCACCAGCTCCATCAGCTTGCCCTGTTGTGGAGGGAGAGGGACAACAGATGAGGGAAGACAACACCTAAGGACGAGCAGTAGAGGGCCGCAGGCCGCTGCCTGGGAGATGCTTCAGCAGTGCCTGAGACACCATGGGCACCACCTCGATCAGCTTGCCCTGTGGGAGGGAGAGTGAGACGGGAGGGCAACAATACGCGAGGGTTTGTGAATGAGTGAAGTTAAGTGTAGCACGAGGAGTTGAGTAAGGGAGAGCGTTTTGCAGCAGGTCGCTGCCTGGCAGATGCTCCAGCAGCGCTTGAGACACCATTGCCCCCAGCTCCATCAGGTGCATTCTAACCTTTTCAGCATTGAAAAGCTCTTAAGAAATGCCACGTCCTCGTGTTTTGAGTCGTGTCAAAACGTTGGCCCCAGCTCCATCAGGTTAATTCTAGCCTTTTCAGCATTGAAAAACCCTAAGAAACGCAAACGTCCTTGCGGCCCTCCCCACGATGTGTTGTGGCACTCATCCAGCACAACCCTCTCACCTTCTGTAAGTTGGCCCACACCACACCACGCCACACCACACCACACCACGCCAACCACACCACACCACCACACCACACCACACCACACCACACCACACCACACCACACGGTTGACCTTCCCCGCAGTGAAAAAACGGCAAACTGAAAGCGTGTGGTGGGGGCTGGCTGGCTAGCACACGGACAGGACAGTCCCCTCACCTTTTGCAGATTGCCCCACACAACGCGGTTGTACCTTCCCCGCAGTGAAAAAACGGTCGCCTCGAAAAAACGCGGCGCCCTCACCCTCCTTCTCCTTCTCCTCCTCCGCGCCTCCCTCCGTGCCAGCAGCTGCGGCGTTGGTAGCAGCGTAGGAGCCCGGGGATGGCGTGAGAGGGTACTTGACCCCGTGTGCCTTGCGCACGTGCCTCACGCTCAGCACAAAGCGGCCGTCGTAGGTCGACTTCTTGCGCACAAAGGACGCCGTGCAGAGCGGCAGAAGTCACCTTGGTAGCTGTGGGAGAGGAAGGGGGGAGGGTAAACAGAAGGTGTTGGGGTGGAGGGGAAGGGAAGGGAGGGGAGGGGGGTGGAGAGGGGGAGAGGGAGGGGGAGGTGGGAGATGGGAACTCTGGTTACGATGGCAGCCATAGATGATTCTATGGCAACAAGATTCTTCAAGATAAGGAGACCTGGCAGGACAGAGGTGATTCACTCACGGGAGGGTTTGCACCGGCATTTGCCCGTTGATGCAGATGCCATGCGGCAGACAATCCCTCTCCCCAGACGTGGCCTGGCAACTACCATCCGTGATCCCCAGCCGTCCATCCACCGCCCATGAACCCTGATAGAGGCACGCGCTCTACAGTCACACCACGGCCAGCGCGCTCAAGCTCCGCCATGGTCTTGTTCTTCAGGGGGTTGTCGTCTGCTGCGGCGGCTGCTGTGCTGCCCGAGCTGCCCCCTCCGCGGGGTTTTAGAGCTGCTGCGGCCGCTGCTGATGCTGCCATGTCACCTGTGGCTCTTGCGCTGCCTGGGGGGGCTGTTGCTACAATCGCCTCAGCCTGTAAGTGCGTCAAGGGAAGGGGGAAATGAGGGAACATGGGTAAGAACGAGCGAGCCACAAGACGGAAGGGTTTTAGATCTGCTGCTGGCGCTGCTGCTGCCATATGTCGCCTGTGGCTCTTGCGCTGCCTGGAGGGGTTGTGGCTACAATCGCCTCAGCCTGAGGTTGTCAAGGGAAGGCGTGAGCGGGAGGGGAGGGAAGGAGAATGATGGGAGATGGGTAGGAACGAGAAAGTACATGACAGACGGGTTTGTGAGACTGCAAGGAAGAAGTACACAGCAAGCTGTAGGTCCGTTCAGGGAAATCGATTTTTGAGGCGCCTCAAAAAAGAAAGTACATGACAGACGGAATTGTGAGACTGCAAGGAAGAAGTACACAGCAAGCTGTAGGTCCGTTCAGGGAAATCGTCAAGCATTCATTCACTCCATATCTCGTAGCCAGGGCATTCATTGGGTGAGACGCAACAGGATGAACGCTGTCAGATAATCAATAGAGCACAATCGTCATTGCCTGTCTTGGTTCTAAAGCTCACCTCACGCATTGCCTGTCATCGTTTCAACCGTCATTTCACGATCTTCATTTCCTGAGCACCTAAAACGCTTACCTGACTTGCGCACTGACACAAAATGTTCGGCAACAAGCTCCACCCGCTCCCTCCTTCACACGCGGCGGATCGGCGGATTCGACTCAAAGGCCAACTGAGCTCACCTCGTGGTCGTCGTCGCCCGACTCCTTGAGGTCTTCAGTGACCTTCTGCCGTTCCTCGAAGCTGAGCACCTTCCCCACCGCCTCCAGCATGCCTTGACCGAGTAAGCTCCACCCGCTACCTCCTTCTGTACACGTGGCAGATCGGTGGACAAGATGAAATGGACAAAAATGAAGGGAGGAAGACACGAGGAAAGTAAGGATCAGAACAAAATCCTTTGAGATGTGCGATCTGCTCGCGTACGTAAGCTTGAAACCCCTAATCAACCTGCACGGTTTCTGCTGGGCGATCATGTACCCACGCTTCCTAGGCAGCAGCAGGTCACATACGCCAGATGAGGAAAAGTTTGAAGTCTACTGGAAGTGAGCATCCCGTATACTCTCGGTCGCGGGATCATTTGCTCGCAGAATCTCCGCTGTATTAGATGCGAGCATGCTAATGAGCGAGACTGTTGTGTAGAGTGGAACCGTACACGAACAGATCGGAACATCCACATGCGCAGCTCGTTGCTTGATCGTTTCAACAGTTTTGACGATTTCGCAGTATTTCTGTCAGTCCGCAGCGAAACATCGACAATGTGTGACTCGAAGCCGAGTTTCGATCTGTTTTCCAGCGCGAAATTAAGCGCGCTTGAGCGAGCAACTTTACGTGAGCAGTCTGATACATAATTTCCTTAAAGAAAACTGCTTCTTTTCACTCGTAAGAGCTTCCGGAAACGGAAATAAGGCCAGAATGAAGTTTTACTACGCACCTGATGCCGCTTGACCGATAACGCTGCCAGGACACAGGACAATAACACAGCACGGAAAAAAGAAAGGGAACAGGAAAGTCAGAGCAAATAAAGGGAACGAGATCAAAAGAGGAAAGAAACGAAGGTATTGAGAATTTAGAGCATTTTGAAAAGCATTGTGGAATCTACAAGATGGGTTTACGCCATTCCTTTTGCTGTGCTTAAAAGAGGAGCTGAACGCGAAGCCCAGAAACACACTTCGTAATCTTATAAAACAGTCTAAAAAGAAGGGTGGATCCAGCGGAAATGGGGCACTGTTATCATACCCGTCCGATTGTTGAACGCCATTCCGGCTGCTGTACTTGGATGAGGAGCTGAACGCGAAGCCCAGGAACGCAGCGACGCCGACGAGGAGCAGAACGAGAATCAAAACGCCTCGGCGATGCCGAGGACCTCGCTTTCTGCTCTTCTTGTCATCCATTGTCATCAACTGCGAGCTGTGCGCTATGAGGTGTTAGGTATGTCCCCTTCTGTTGTGGGTATTGATCAAAGTGGTGATCGCCCCGGAAAAAACGTCTAAGTAGGTGAAGTGACGATGGTTGAATCAGCAACGGTGTCGATCAGTGAATGGCAGATATCAGAGAATGATGGCAGTCTGCTGCGTCTATATATGAGAATGACTCGTTCAGATTACTATAAGACGCACGTACGCGTTCACGAGAACGAGCCGACTATGTCACAATGGATCCCAGGCTAAAGTTACACGGAAAGGCTGCAATGTCTCCGAAATTTGCGATGGCTTCAGAGGGCATGCCTGCAGTAGCAGAAAACACCAGAAACCTCAGCCCACGATCAAGCTTACAGCATGCTACTGGCTTAGGCAATGGAAAAGAGCCCCTTACGAAATCAACATCACGTGGACAGACTACCATCAAGTAGACATTGGTGCCAGGTAATAAACTTGATACTGGCTTCTAATCTCAAGGGAGAGGAATCCATGGCTGAGAGACTATGAAGTTAGGTTGGTTGGTTGGTGAGAAAGGTTTGGTGCGAGAGGGTGGCGTTGGCACGGGACGTTATTGGAGAGGCTCGGGAGTACCTCGCGGGTGTCGAAGCTGAACTGTCCCTTTACTGTACTTACCAGCTTCGGCTTTGTATGTCTAGGGGACATCGAGGCTCGGCTCGTTGGCAGGAGGGCTGATCGCTTCTGGTTCGTCACACTGCCACATGGGATCTCCAAGTGGTTGTCGCCCGGAGTCTGGCGATGTGCGTGCCATCTCACAGCATTCGTAACCGTGGGATTGCGCCACTCGTGATGTTGCGAAATTGTGTGTCGTCAACGATCACAGAGCCAATCACAGGTGAAGACGATATTCTTCGGAGTCGCAACACTGCCAAATCGCGGCACCATGTCGGCAACTAACCTGCTGCGCAGAAAAATGTTCCACCTGAAGAAAACACCGCTTCGGTAACTGCCTGAACCTAACCTCCTGAACCAGCACAACAGTAAAACCTCAACACGGTGTGTCTCGGTAACATATACAGCGAGTAGATCCACACGCATATACTTCTGATAGTTCAATGAGGTGCAGTAATATTTATTGTGAAATCCGCTAACAGGAAGTTCTTGACATCAATACTGCGTGATATGCTATTTTTTAACCGGGTATTGATGATTAAACTGACATTAACAGGGCATTGTTTATTTGCCATGAAATGAAATTCGAATGTGCTGTAGATTGAGAGTGTGCAGTCACTTCTGATGAAAGCGAGAAGATTTAGCAACCTAGGAACAAGAACGCATATAAATCTTACGAGCACCACGCGTAAGTTTGAAGAAACATAAGATGGTGAGAGAGGATAGCGACCGCTGGCTTGAGGGAGGAGATACAGCACAGCCAGAAGAAGCGGGAACTTATGGACTGGGGAGAAATGAGTCAGACAGGACTGGATCCCATTCCGCAAGGCCTTTCGAGCAGCGGTTGCATCAGGAATACTGGACAAGAAGAAGGATTCGAAAAACGGAGTGAACAGAGAGACGATCAACACGAAGGCGTTGGGGATGAGAGTGAAAGGAAGGCAGCGGAACACCGCATGGCAGCAGCGGTGGTGATGATAGCGGAAGTGACGGGTAGGTGAGTATCTTTTGTGAGACCGAAACGGGAGAATTTGATCTGATTTTGTCACACGGAATCCCAGTACCGTCTAGCAAATTCCTCCTCGGTTTCCATTCCAACCGATATCCGTTTTTAAAATTAGTCAACCATGGACGCGTACAATGGTGACACGCTTTGGCGCCTCATATTTCCTTATTCCCGACGGTCCTATCGTCTTGTTCTCTTCAGCTCGGTCGGCAGGGATGTCCATCCACGATGACGTCATGCAGGCGCTTGTGCACCTGACCCTGACGTATGCAGGTGAGCACCTGCTGTCTCATGATGAGTTCTGCCAGATAGTTTGGTGGGTTTTCTTATGCATCCCTATGGAATCGCGAGCTCCTGCTGCTAGCTTTTGCTGCTAGAATGATTCATTCTTCTATTGTTCGTTTTACACTGCACACATACCCACCCAACGCCTTGCTTCTATTCGCCTGGCTGCAGAACAATTGGCTCGGGATGTGCAGTTGTTTGCACGCCATGCCAAGAGGAAGAGAGTGGAACCTGATGACATCATTCTCTCAGGTACGACTTTGTTCACTCTTTTTGCATTGATATGAGATCTATGTTGAGGCAGCTTCCTTTAATCAGCATCACACCAGCATTCTCTTTCTACCTACGGTAGCTCTCTCTATCCATCAGTCTCATACAACTACATATTACCCCATGGCAGCCCATCGGAATCAAGCAGTAATGAAGAAGCTCCGAGAATTTGCGGCAGCTGTGGGGCAAGAGGGGAAGGTAGTTAAGAGCAAATTTCCAGCCAAACCAGATGGTTTGTGAAACGTTGTATGTGTGTAACGTTTTTTTTTCGTTAAAAGTGTTTCTACGCGTCAAGGAGTGTCTCTTTCATAATGCTGCAAAGATGCTGCTTACTGATAGGGTTTTTTACTAGCATTTCAACACTTACCCATAGCGTCTGGAAACGAGTGGCTGACCCATGCAATGTGTTAAAACTGGGTCGGCCTGTGACGAGTGATTTATTGCGTCGTGATTGGGTAGATCTGACGTGGTCTGACCAATGTAAAAGTGTTGGTGATTCCCAAGCAAATGACTGATGAGGCGCCACGCAGCCTTGTCCAGGAGCAACCACTCCAGAACCAGAGCCTTCGCTGCTGAATCATATACACTACTTTCCACGTCAACATTCGTGTCTTGGATATTGCTCAGCCAAGACCCTCGTCATCTTGGGATTGTTCGACTTCCCTGCTTGCGAATGACGACTGTTCTTTGCGCGTCAGAGCGAAATTCGTGTCGTCGTCGCCTAGTCATCAATGAAAACTCGAGGCACCAAATGCAACGCACCGCAACCACGGATTCCGCCGATAGTCTCGTTCCGACGAACATCCCCTTACCCTTCTGAACCCGCACTCCCCCGCTTCCCCGCCATTGGCTTGTGCCGCCGATTCCACCCATTGGTTACCGTTCCAGCTCCTTTCCCCTCCGCCCGCATTCTACCGCCATGGCCATGGCGATGTTCAAAACGGCTTCATTCTTTCAGCGACGTAGTAGAAGGTCGGTCAGTTATTCACACAGCCAAACACGGATAGCCAAAGACATTCAACCCCATCCCAGTGACCCACCCGCGCACCCCATGCAATCCCTTGTGGTCTGCTGCACCCTTTCTCATATTCACGTCCCGTTGCCTGTGTTATCGGAAATTGTAGCTTCGTGCTGAACTTTTCCCAATTTCCCACTGCCATTCCAGCTTCACCCCCACCCCATCCCCTCCTTCCTTTCCTCCATTTCCTGGCCTGTACATAAACGCCCTTGCCTCCATTTCTCTCCACTCTCTCCACCTCTGCCTGCTCGCTCGTCCTGCTAGAGTATTCTTTATCTGAGCTCACAACTTGGGTAGGATAAAAGTACTCTGCACTATAAATCATTCCTTGTTGGAATTGGGTACTCATCCCTTGAATTAACTACTCAAGGAACACGTTTGTACCCGAGTTACCTTCTTGTTCAGTATAGTGATTCCGACATGGCGTCAGCACCGTGGCTGAGGGTCATTCTCACGCGAGACAAGAGCGTCGGCAAAGCATTCAGCTCTTCCGCCGTCGTAAGCGCCGTGCCTTGCGGCCTCCGCCTCTCGCCTCCACTCGAAGCGTCGCCTCCTTCGGGAAAAGACGTGATTGTTCGCGCGAGGTCGTTCGGCAATGAGAAGGAGGAGGACGATCAATGGAGGATGATGCTTGCATCCGGGAGAGATTAATGTCCATAACGGGGATACTCACGGAGCCGGTGCCGTTACGTATCCCGTCAAGCTGTATTTCTTTTTCCGAGGCTGCTTCACTCGCAACCGGCATGTGGCATTTGACTGCTCCGATTTTCCTCGATAGATTCGAAGACGCCACCAATCTCCAACAGATTACCAACCTACGGTAGTTTTGTACATCCGCTTACATCCGCCTGTATCGCGTACATCCGCCTTTCCTTGTACAGCAGGTTACGTTCCTGTATGCCGTTATGATGCATTCAGGCTTTGCCATTGCCTGGAGTTTTAGTTTTGCCCATTTGTGTTGCAGGCTTGCAGCGATTGCCTGTCTATGACGGCTGCAGGTTTGCAGCTTGCTGTGCTTGTGTTGCAAAAATGTAAAGTCTATAACTGTAATGCTATCTCGTGAGTGGTGTTCAATACATAGTGAACGAGCACCCTCACAACCAGCCAGCCAGCAAGTACACTACATATTTCAAGATGCCATCCCAGGTTTGCGCCAGCCTGGCGGCGTGTAGTACTAACCCCGTCAATCACGGGCGGGAACCCTCAATTTCGCCAGCGCGGCATTGCACACTCGCATTGGTACAGAATTGCTGTAATCACAACCAATTCTGACTAATCGCAGCTGCGCTGCAGGTAGTGTTGGCAAGATTCCTTGCCAACACATAGCTCGCCGCGCACTGCACCTTCGCTCTACACCATGACCATCCACCACACTCCGCCTTCAATGTTGCCAACGCACAGCTCGTAGCGCGCTGCCACTCTCACATCACCACATCCATCCACCCCACCCCACCTTCCCAGTTGCCACCGCAGGGCTCGCACCGCGCTGCTACTCTCACGTGACCACATCCATCCACCCCATTCACCCCACCTTCCAAGGATTCACGCCCAGGTGCCGTGCATGCAATGACCACCTAGGAGATGAGAGGTCCTACTACGAGGACCTCTCATCTTCCTCTTAGACACCGATCTTGCCAGTCTCTCTCAGGGCCCGCTCCATTTGCCTCGCCTGAAACTAGTGTAGGAGCCCTTGTTTCAGGCTCCCTTTTCCTAGCTCGCTACACCTCTGCTCGGCAGGCTCAATGGCAGCCACAGAGGTTGTCGCGGATGGGCCCGAGGATGAGGATGATGCAGTCGGTCGCCCAGTTTCTGACCCACTCACCGGTCTAGACTTCATTAGGTCTGTCCTACCGAAGCACAATCCACCGCAAACGCCACCGTCGCAACCCAGCTCGAGCCGCCCACCTATTCCCAGAGACACCCCACCTCTGCACGAGGCCGTCACTGAACCAGCGACCACTCCCCAACAGGCGGTGCCCCATGAGGCGTCCGTCGGTGCACCTTCCCGTCCCGCGCCACCTCCGAAGCTGCGGTACCGTCAGTCCACCCTTGGGTGGGCAACTCCGCCTCCTCCATCGACCGTTGTGACTCCTGCGAGCGACGATTCTCCCATGCAGGAAAGGTTAAAGCCCACACAGGACAGCACAAAGCCCATGCAGGGCAGCTCAAAGCCCATGCAGGGCAGCTCAAAGCCCAAATCTGACAATCCTGAGTTGAAATACGAGGAAGCTCATGAGAGATTTAGATCCAAGTGGTCCACCGATTACAGTTGGCTTGGTCTAACTAAGACCTCTTCTGGTGCCCCTTCTTTCAAGTGCAGTATTTGCTTGGAGTTTGCGGGATTGAATGGCAAGTGTGGGTGGCGTATTGAGGGAGCTACAGACGTGCAAGCACAGTCTTTCAAGAAGCACGAAGGGATGGTGAAGCACCGATTTGCTCTGTAGCGCCAAGAGGACTTGCTGCAGAAGTATGGGCGACAGCTGCGCATCGACATTGTCAGGATATGTTGCTAGGGTTTAGCCTTAGGAGCCATGTTGGGAGGTAGAGTGTGAGGGAGTTGGCAATGAAAGAGGACTTCACTATAGAGCTAAGGGTACAAATATGATAGGAAAGGGGGTAATCCACCAAACAGAATGTGATAACTACACTACCGTCATCGCCCGGATAGAAGACATATATGTCTTATCTTATACATTGGAAAAAATGCTTGCTGTGTCTTATATTTGGGACGGTTTGGGGTGTCTTATAATTCTTATAAATAGGCAAAATATATAAGAACCATGTAACATTCGGAAAGACTGTAGAAACCACCCACGGGGCGGATTAATTGAAAACAGCCACATTTTGATGCGATTCATGCGCCGCCACCTCGTGCCACGTGATGAGAAGCATCAATGCTGCTTGTGCTGGCAGAATTCCGCCCTGCTGGCAGCATCTCATGATGCTTCTAGTGTCGTTTTGCTGCCAGCAGGGAACAGAGCCTTCTAGAACGCTGCCAGCAGCACGATGGCAGCATCCTGCCATCCTGAGTTGTCCTCTACGAGCAAATTTGCCGTAGAGGAGCGGCTCGTCTTCCAAGGGGGGGGGGGCACTCTGGAATGGGGGGTAGTCGAGGTTGAGCTTCATTTTTTGCTCGTGAAACTCGAAAGTGGCTCAATCTTAGCTCTAAGCAGGCTCTATCATGCGTAGTAAGCATCCTGCAAGCGCGCCGTCTCCTCTCCCTAACGTCCATGTTACCAACTATGGGCGCATCAACTCGCCCGGTGACGACATCCGGGTAGACATGGCGAAAGAGAAGCGCCAACCGGCGGGGAGCTCCAACGCCGGCTCTGGCGCAAGTTGTGACGAGGAAGAGGGCAACGAAGACGCCGGCGACGAAGATCATGGCGACGAGGACGAAGAGGACTGGCCGGGAAAACGGCCACGACGACAGCGCATCTGGTGACGAGGTGCCTGCCGGAGGCATCGACGATGACGACTGGTGGATGCAGCCGATAGGCTCCGGCGACGATGTGGAGGAGTGGCACGCCGGCGACGATGACGATGACGGAGGCGCGGATGCGGTTGCTGATGCGGCGGCGGATGCGACGGTAGAAGCTCAGGCGGCGGGTGCAGATGCGGAGGCGGAAGCAGATGCGGATGCGGAGGCGGATGCAGATGCGGATGCGGAGGCGGATGAAGATGCGGATGCGGAGGCGGATGCAGATGCGGAGGCCGAAACAGGCGCAAATACGGCTGCTGTTGTGGTGGCGGAGGCGGGTGATGGCCGTGATGCTGTCTTCTTCGAAGGCGAGGACGACGCGGACGACCCATGGCGCGTCTCGTCAGATGATGACGTGCCTCTGTTGAAGAGGCGGCTGCGTCACAGCCTAGGCGTGTCCCGGAAAAAAACCCGGGTGCTGCTCTCGGACGACGACAGCCCGGATGAGGAGCGGCGACCCCGCGTCCCTGCTGCTGACAAGGGGAAGGCTAAGGTGGTTGAGGTTCCTGCTAAGGTCGCCCCTCGCGTCGGACAGAGCAAGAAGAAGTGGAAGGACGATGGCGACCCGGGTTCAAGCAAAGGCGCGAAGAGGCAGAAGAAGAAGGCTGTCAAGAACAAGGACGACATCTTGGTAAACGAGGCGCAGGGCAGTGACGACGACTACGCGGAGGCTGCAGGCCCCATGCCTTCATTCCCTGAGAAGGCGAAGCCAAAAGACCCCACCATCTGTAATGCTAACTCCCGCCCCCCTTCCCCACGCAGTCGCGGGATTAAACGGACCAGGCGGAGCTGGTCCGTGCGCGAAAAGGTGAAGTGGGCGCGTCGCTACGCGGAGCTCGGCTCCCTCAAGAAGACCTCGGCCGAGTCTTCGGCGAGCATCGCGTGCATCAGACGCTGGAGCGCGCAGGCTGCAGCGGGCATGTACAAGGGCGCTGCGAATTCTCGCAAGCGCATGCATGGGGCAGGCCGCCACTCACACCACCCCGACATGGAGGCGGCGCTGTACCGATACATCTGCCTGCATCGCGCGAATGGGGTGGCGATCTCGGTCAAGGACACGCAGAAGTGGAGCCGGGAGTGGATGAAGAAGCACCACCCCGGGAAGAACTGGAACGCGAGCTCCCACTGGAGCCAACGTTTCCGCGACCGCTGGAATCTCGTCATGCGGGTGAAGACAAAGGTTGGCCAGCGGTTGTCGGCTGGTGAGTGGTTCTAGGCTGTGAATTCACTGCGCATTGTCAACTCCTTGTCCTTACCACGATATAAACTTGCATATCCCGACTCATCCCATCCTTGTGTGTGTTCTTTTGCCTTGGCAGAATGCGCAAAAGACTGCGAGTCTTTTTGGAAGTTCGTCAGGATCAACAGGGCGCGGCACAACATCGACCCAAGCCGCATCATCAATGCGGATCAAACGCCCCTCTTCGTTGAAATGCCGGCCGAGAGGACCCTTGACCACCGTGGTGCGCGCTCGGTCCCGATCCGCACGGCCGGCTACGAGAAGACGCGGCAGACAGCGATGCTCGTGTGCACGGCATCCGGGGAGAAGCTGCGGCCGTGGGTTTGGTTCAAAATGAAGAACGTGCCGAGGTGTGACGTCCCCGCTGGTGAGCTAAACGAATTTGGGTTTAGGGAGACCACCGTGGCCCTGTTTGGCTCACTCCCCTATCTCCCTATGTGCCTGGCAGGAGTGGTGGTCCAAGCACAGGACAACGGTTGGATGGACGAGACCGCTGTGCAGACTTGGCTGACGAAGGAGGTGCTGCCTCATCTCAACCCCCAGCGGGGCCAGTGCGCACGGCGTGCGATGCTGGTTCTGGATTCGTACCGCGGCCACATCACCCAGGGCATGCTTCGCGCCTATCGCACGCACAGCATCACTCCGGCTGTAATCCCTGCAGGTTGCACCAGTCAAATTCAACCACTTGACGTTTCCATCAACCGGTGTTTCAAGGCCGGGGTGCGAGCTCGCTACGCTAGGTGGTTCATGCGTGAAGGCCTTTACCTGAAGACGAAGAACGGTGAGTCCACTGTCGGTGATCAGTAAATGCCTGCCAGTGTAGCTCTTGATGTACGGTATCTGACGGCACGTTTGCTCTGAATGTGACCCACCCGCAGGGAACCTGAGGAGACCCCCGCATCCCGTGGTGCTGCAGTGGATAGCGGAGGCGTGGGATCAAGTCCCTAGGCAGGTGATCATTGACGCGTTCCGTCACTGCGGCATCTCAAGCAAGCTGGATGGGACCGAGAACCATCTGGTGATGTCCCACCTGCGCGCCAGGAGCACCACCGATGTCACCGAAGACATGTGCCTCGGGGGCACCACGGGCGACAACACGCGCCTGCTTGGGAACGCTCCCGAGGAGGAGGAGGAGGAGGAGATGCAGGCGGAGGGCGTGAAAGAGGTGGCCGTGGCCACCGGCCTGGAGGTGCTGTACCAGGAGACCCCTCACTACCGGGGAGCGGCGGCCGAGGCTGACCGCATGATCGAGCCCGTGCAGACAGCCAGACACGCCTGGCGAGTGCCAGACTTGGGGATGCAGGAGCCACCATCTACTAGTGCAGATGAGGGCGTAACAGAGGGGGGCTAGGTAGAAATAGTAAGATTGGATAAATGCATGCATGTACCCCCCCACCCCTGAATGCAAGAACCGATTATAAGACACCCACCCCCTTTATAAGGAAACCCTAAACCCTAGCACTGTTTAGTAGGCACTGTCTTAAGTCGTACACGCTTGTAGGTGGCTTATAATTGGAAGCACCCAACTATAAGAAACACCCGTATTAAAGACACCCCCTGTCTTCAATTCGACACTGTCTTCTATCCGGGCGATGACGGTACTGCTATATCTACATGCAGTTACAATAATATAACTCTGACATCCCCCCTTAACTGCATGCAGGAATAGCAAAGCATAAATCACAACCCGCAAGTGTACTGAAAGCATTAGCACGCAAGAGCAATGACAACCAGTGCAGCAGTGGCAGAAACAACAGCAGAAACCCCTTAGCCAATACAGAAACGAAAGAAAGGTGCATGTGGCGCAGGTCGCCTGGAGAGCGGCGTGCGGCGGCAACAAGCGGCGGCACAGCAGGCTCAACGGCAGCACCTGCCGCTCAACAGCAGCAAACGAAAGAGACGAATTAAGTGGCAACAGGGGCTGCAGCTGGAGATGCCACAGGAGCAGGGGGTGGCAGTTGCAAATGCAGGGCTGCTGCTTCTGCCACTCTCTCTCTCATACCCTCCTTTATCCCCCCTTACCCTCTCTCCCCCCCCCTCCCCTCAGCAACAATTGCTGCAGGGAGAGAGGAAGAGGGAAGGGAGGGAGGAGCGGCAGGCTCCTCACACCCGCCCCCTCCCCCCAACCCCCCCCCCCCACGACGGAAGGGAAGGGCGGAATCACCCACTGCCGGCGCTGGCGGTCGCGTTGGCGCTAGCGCTGGCGGCCGTCGCAGCTGCTGGCGGTGGCGCTGGCGGTCCGCGCAGGCGCTGGCGCTCGCGGCTGGCTGCAGCGTTGGCGCTCGCGGCTGGCCGTGGCGCTGGCGTCCTCGCTGGCGAAGGCGGATCGCGGGGCGACGGGGGGAGCGTGACGGACGAAAAGGGCGCACGGGCGCGACGCGAAACGAAGGGCCTACAGAAAGCGAAAAACGGGACCCGCGGGGTTCGTCCACGGGGCGATTCGGGGGACCCGCGGGGCGCATTACGGGCGGCACGACGGGTGGGCCCATGATCATTAAAACAAAATAGGTCCTCAGGAGAAATTCCTGCTCTGTACCATGTCAGGATATGTTGCTAGGGTTTAGCCTTAGGAGCCATGTTGGGAGGTAGAGTGTGAGGGAGTTGGCAATGAAAGAGGACTTCACTATAGAGCTAAGGGTACAAATATGATAGGAAAGGGGGTAATCCACCAAACAGAATGTGATAACTACACTACTGCTATATCTACATGCAGTTACAATAATATAACTCTGACAGACATGCACTCGAAAGCGCATGACATGGAGTTGCTGTAGGTGTCGTCGCTCGTGGACTCGGTGTACTTCATGGGGAAGTGCAACGAGCCCATGGACTCGTGGATCCGGCTGGTGCGCTACATGGCGAAGAATAAGGTGCTCGGATTTCCCCAGCAGGGCTACGGCACATACTATAATACGAAAGTAATGTCTCATGTATCCCCCGTGTTTACAACATTTTTTTGTCGATGGCCTTCGCTAACGACTATGTTTCCTTGTGTAGGTACGGCTTTGGAGAGCTCACTCAAGCAATTGCGACATGGCTCCAAACAACGCAACCGGAGCACCTTCTCTTGAGCCCTTTCATCGGGATAACACTGGACGAGAGCACCGATCGTCGGCACGGCAAACACATGATTCTGATTGCCACATTTCTCCTTGATGGCTAAGTTGTCGCCGAGTTCGTCGCGCATTTGACGGTTGAGAGGGCTGACGCTACATCTTTGTGCAGTTTGTTGCTTTCCCACCTCAGGGCTGTCGGCGTTGACCTCCGGCGTATCTCGGGAGTGAGCACGGATGGTGCGTCTGTGATTGTGGGGAGTCAAAATGGTGTGGTTGCTCGTTTGCGATAGCTCGTCCCGAACATGGTCTCGTTTCACTGCATCGCTCACCGGTGCGTTTGTGTTTTAATGCCAGGTGTAAACGCCACTGAAGAACTTTATTAATCTTTAACATTTGTGGTTTTGTTTCGCAGGGAGGCCTTGGCTACCAAAGCCGTAGCGGAGGCAATACCAACCTTCAACATGGTTGACGACGTGATCCGCGCCGTCGCAGAGTACCTTGGGCGATCGGGGCCGTGGCATCAGCGCTTCATGGAGCTCCAGAAGGTGTTCACGTCCACCAACCTCGAGGTCCAAGGCATACACGACGTGCGGTGGCTGTCCAGAGGAGTTGCAGTCGCCCGCTTCGTCCAAGTCCTACCTGCCATCATGGTGATGTTGTCGGAGTGGAAGGACCAGACCATGTACGAACTCGTCATGTCGTACAGTTCCAGTTCCTCATCAAGTTCCTCGTGGATATGCTGGAGCAGCTCAACGTCCTCTCCTCAGTTTTCCAGAAGCGGGAGGTAAGTGACTTTCAGGGTGTTGCTTGTGGTGGTTTTAGTACAAAACCCTTTGTACTAATTTTCGTTGAATGTTTGTGATGCAACTCGACTACGCGCTGGTGCACGCGCAGATTGTGCGCACCACATCGACCTTGGAGGCCCAGTACATTGATTGTGGCGACGACTTCGGGGGGGGGGGGGGGGGGGGGGGGGGGGGGGGGGGCGACCGAGAGGCTCTACCGCTTCATTCAGAAGCACGATCTGAGTGGGTCACCAAAAATGGTGGTGGGAGGAGCATCGTCCGACGGCAGTATGAACCGCTTCAAGGTAAAACTTCACGAGCTCACCAACTTGAGCTATCGTGGGCCAGGTCGCCTGCGTTGCGCTCTGCACCGACATGGCCGCGCTCGTCGTCGAGAACCTCCAGTCCAAGCTCGGCGACCTTGACTCTCTTTCCGGAGTGAGGCTGTTTATTCCGGAGATGTGGCTGTTTATTCCGGAGATGTGGCAAGCGCACTGGGACCGGGATGCACGGCAGGCACAATGCCTAGAGTGGTTGTTGTCGCTTGTCACATTGTTTCGCGCAGATGAAGTCGACGAGATCCTACCTGGTATGTTTTTGTGTCACTCCGCCCCGTTCCCCCTTTGACAACGACTTGTTTACTAAACCCGTGTGCTGTTTTACCTTGCAAGCATTGACAAGAAGAAAGCCGTGAGGGAGCTGCGCACACTGTGTCCAGTCCTTGCCAGAGCTCTGAAGAGCGAGCGCAAGTTTGCCGCGATTCTCAGGACACCCGACTTACAGCAGGCATACCCCAACCTCGTCGCACTGTGGGTGGCGATTGCCGTGCTGCCTCTCAGCACGGTCGAGTGTGAGCGAGGATTCTCCTGACATAATTTCATCAAAACGTGGTAGAGGGGCAGCATAAAGGATTGTAGGTTGAGTGATCTGCTCTGTATTTCACTCCTAAACTATGAGCTAGATGTCCCAGGAGTAGTAGAGATATGGCGCAACTACAAGAAGTGCCGGCCGGTCACAGCACGTGCTGCAAGGCACAGGGAGGAGCCCTCTAGGGCTGGGAAGGAGCCTGTAGACGAGACAGTAGTAGAACGTGCCCTTGTAGTATCTCTGTCACGCTATCAAGAAGAAATGTAAAAGGTTTACTTAAGTGTTTTCATATATGCCGGAAAACAGACTGTTACTCTGTATGATCAGCGTTGAAATGCAAGTGTAGTCTGAACTCTCAGACTAAAAAAATCGGGTCACTCTGACTGCTAGACTAGGAAGAGGGGTGTACTGTAAGGCCTCAAACTACCTCAAAACGAATATAGGGGCCTGCGTCCCAAAGTGTATGGTGCTCATGCTTATAAAGTGAATGGGGTGGCCAGGGTAATACAACTTCCTCCAACTCAAATACCCACACTACAGAATAAAGGAGTAAACCCGACTTCATAAACTGCAGCTATATTCACAAAGCTCATATAAATAGGTGCACCAGCACTCATCCTTCTATCCCTAGCTAGCGCACCTACTTGTACTCCTACTGTACGGTCAGACACTCCCCTCCTACGTGTAACCCCAACATAGGCTTGTTATTCAAGTTATCCGTGCCTGTCAAGTCAACATCTAAACACCACCCAGCCGAATGAATTCAACCTCCTTGCAGACTCAGAAACACAAGGGCTGTAGCACCTTCCCCCCCTCCCCATGCAGACCTGAGAGTGCCTGAGGCATTTCATGATTTCAGCCACACACCACCCCATGCCCCACAGGTTTAAGCTCACTTCGCTGCTGCTTACTCCTCCCTCCCCTTGCCATCTAGCATTGTTATGCTTGTGGCTATACACGTACCCTCGCTAGATCCAAGCTCTTCCTGAAGAGAAATACTCGAAGAGAAATACTCTTGCCACGATGCCAAATACTCCCCGATCGCAGTCATTTCTGACCGAACAGGAAGGCCTTGCATATGCAGGCACCATTGCAGCATTACTGTGCCTGTGGCGTTTCCGGCAGGCTCCCTCGTCCCATGCACTCCAGCTCTTCCCACAGCGTCAAGTACTCCTCATAACTCCTTGCTGCCGCTTCAAACTCCTCCTTACGCCTTCTGGAATAAGATTTCCTGCCACACGCGCCAGGAGATACAGCCGCCAGCTGGCGCACGATGCTGATGTGGCGGTCCCAAGCGTGCCGACACTCCTCAGCCTTCCTCCGAACCTGCTCCCGAGCCTCCGCCAGCTGATCCATCTCCTCCCGAGCCTCTGCTGCAGCAGCTTCGGCCCGGTGGGTTGCCTCAGAGGCAGCAGCCCTGGCTTGGTTCACTGCAGCCTGTGCTCGCCGAAGCTGCTCCTCAGCTTCAGCAAGGACTGCCCGAGCCTCCGCAGCAGCCCGTTGCTCCTGAACCGCAGCCTTGGCATTGAAGCTAAGATCGTCTTCCAGTGCTGCCAGTGCCCGAGCCTCTAATTGGCCTAAAGAGCCGTTTTCAGTGCTACCATTCACACCACTCTCAACACCACCTGCACCGCTCTGAAAAGCTTCCTGAAAAGAGCTCAGCTGCTCGGGTGCAGGCAGGGTGGGGTTAACATTGATGGGGGCAAGTCGGGCCGTAGCAACAGCACCAGTACCAGCAGCACCAGCACCAAGAGCAGCATTGCCAGAAGCAGCAGCAGAAGAGAGGTGAAATGGGGAGTTGACGTGAATGCTGCCTGCTGGATTGGGCCTCAGAACAGAAACAGGTGGGTGTGGAGCTGTGACTAAAGCAGGTAGGTGTGATGGTGTGACTATAACAGGTGCTATTGGGGTTGCGTGTGGGGCTGTGACTAAAACAGGTGCTTGTGAAGGTGGGTAAGGAGCTGTGACTATAGCAGGTGTTATTGCAGGTGGGTGAGGAGCTGTGACTATTGCAGGATGTGGGAATGTAGCAGGATGCGCCACTGTAGCAGGATGTGCCACTGTAGCAGACTGTGCCACTGTAGCAGGGTGCATCACTGTAGCAGCTAGAGGAGCAGTGGCAGGGGGAGCAGCAGGAGGAGCAGCAGAAGGAGCAGTAGGAAGGAGAGCAACGGGAGTGGAAGGGAGAGCAGCAGGAGCAGTGGGAGGAGGAGCAGCAGGAGCAGCAGAAGCAGCTGCAGTGGTCTCCTCCTCTTCCCTCCTGTTCCTCTCCTCCTCTTCCTTCCTGTTCCTCTCCTTCTCTTCCTTCCTGTTCCTCTCCTCCTCTTCCCTCCTGTTCCTCTCCTCCTCTTCCCTCCTGTTCCTCTCCTCCTCTTCCCTCCTGTTCCTCTCCTCCTCTTCCCTCCTGTTCCTCTCCTCCTCTTCCCTCCTGTTCCTCTCCTCCTCTTCCCTCCTGTTCCTCTCCTCCTCTTCCCTCCTGTTCCTCTCCTCCTCTTCCCTCCTGTTCCTCTCCTCCTCTTCCCTCCTGTTCCTCTCCTCCTCTTCCCTCCTGTTCCTCTCCTCCTCTTCCCTCCTGTTCCTCTCCTCCTCTTCCCTCCTGTTCCTCTCCTCCTCTTCCCTCCTGTTCCTCTCCTCCTCTTCCCTCCTGTTCCTCTCCTCCTCTTCCCTCCTGTTCCTCTCCTCCTCTTCCCTCCTCTCCCTCTCCTCCACATCCCTCCTCTCCCTCTCCTCTTCCCTCCTGTTCCTCTCCTCCTCTTCCCTCCTCCTCCTCTCCTCCCCCTCCCTCTCCTCCTCTTCCCTCTTGTTCCTCTCCTCCTTTTCCCCCTTCTCCCTCTCCTCCACTTCCCTCCTCTCCCTCTCCTCCGCTTCCCTCCTCTCCCTCTCCTCCTCTTCCCACCTCCTCCTCTCCTCCCCATCCCTCTCCTCCGCTTTCCTCCTCTCCCTCTCCTCCTTTTCCCTCCTCTCCCTCTCCTCCTTTTCCCTCCTCTCCCTCTCCTCCTTCTCTTTCCTCTCCTTCTCCTCTTCCCAACTCTCCCTCTCCTCCTCTTCCCTCCTGCCTCTCTCCTCCCCCTCCCTCCTGCTCCTCTCCTCTTCTTCCACCCTCTCCTTCCCCTCCGCCTCCCTCCTCTCCCTCTCAGCAACCACAATTCCCACCAGTTCATCTTTTGACAGCCACGCCACTCCCGGGAGCGGCTTGAGGATAGATGCGAGAATCTGAAAGCAAGGCAAGAGGAAGGGAAGAAGGAAAAAGAAAGAGGTCCGTAATAGCAAGCACGATTCACTCTTCTCCCTCTTTGCAACCACGGTTGCCACCAGCTCGTATTTTGACAGCCACGCCACTCCCGGGAGCGGCTTAAGAATGGAAGCGAGGATCTGAAAGCAAGGGATGCAAAGGGGAGGAGCAGATGGGGAGTGGAAACAGTATTAGCAACAACGGTTCCCACCAGTTCATCTTTAGACAGCCACGCCACTCCCGGGAGAGGCTTGAGGATAGATGCTAGGATCTGAGACCAGAGGGGATTTGATCGGAGGATGGAAAGGGAAGGAGGAAGAACGAGGAGGGAACAGAATTAGGGAACCGCCTCGTTTTTTTATTCGACTAAAAAAACCGCCTTTTGAGTCGACTCAAAAAGCGACTCATCACACGAAGAGGGAACGGAATTAGGGAACCACCTCGTTCATCTTTTTGAGGAAGAACGAGCAGGGAACCGCCTGCTCATCTTTTTGACAGCCACACCACTCGATGGCTTAAGAATGAAAGCGAGGATCTGCAAGCAAGGGATGGAAAGGGGAGGAGGAGAAGGGGAGCCGAAACAGTGTAAGCAACCACGGTTGCCACAAGCTCGTCTTTTGACAGCCACACCGCTCGATGGCTTAAGAATGAAAGCGAGGATCTGCAAGCAAGAGCAGATGGGAGGGGAGGTGAGCGGAAGAGGGGGGTTAGGGTGAGGGAGAGTAAGTTTGAGCGCTACATTTCCCCACATCACACCCCACATTGCCTTTCTTTTGGTCCCACCACCCAACCACGCATGCACCCACTCACTAACACACCCACCATCCACCCACACACACACCTGCAAACAACATACCCACTCCCAGCAGCGTCTGCAGCACCAAGCACCCACCCACACACCCATCCACACCCACACACACCTACCCACTCACAAACGTACCTACAGCATGCCTACTCCCAGCTGCTGCTGCACTGCACACCTATTCCTCCACCACACCCCACCCATCCACACCCACACACCAATCCATCCACACCTACCCACCCATCCACGCACATACCTGCAGCATGCCCACTCCCAGCTGCTGTAGCACATTGTGAGTGAGTCCTCTATTCCTCCACACCCTTTGCTGCAGCGTATGCAATTTGAAGCACCCATCCTCACATCCATCCACACCTACCCACCCATCCACGCACATACCTGCAGCATGCCCACTCCCAGCTGCTGTAGCACATCCTGAGTGAGTCCTCTATTCCTCCACACCCCTCGCTGCAGCGCCTGCAAAACCAAGCACCCCTCCTGCTTCCCATTCTTCTGCCCCACCTGCTGCGTCTCCCTTAGCTTCTCCCCCCCCTGCTGCTGCACCTGCCTTTTCTGCCCCTGCCTTTCCTCCATCTGCTTCTGCCTTCGTCTGAGAGCAGTGGGAATGGCCAGGAAGCGAGTATGGAGTGCCGTGCGGGGGAGAAGAGAAGACCACTGCTGCATGCACTCACTCGTTTTGCTCCTGCTGCTGCTATTGCCACTATTGTTGCTGCTGCTGCCACTGCTGCCGCTGCCGCCGCCGCCGCTGCTGCTGCTGACGTCACCGCCAGGGCACAGGAACGCGTGCAGCTCCGCCACGTCACGCGCCAGGCTGGCGTCCAGCTGGCAGAGGTCCACGTGGCCGCACAGGGAGCACCGCAGCTCCGTGGCAAAAAACGAGCGAGCGGCTGTAGCGCCGGCTGTAGCGGCTGTGGCAGCTGTAGCAACGGCAGCAGCAGCGTTCGTGTTGCCAGCAGTAGCTGCAGTAGCACCAGCAGCACCAGCAGCACCGGCAGCACCGGCAGCACCAGCATCAGTACCCCAAGCAGTGGCAAAACCCCCAGGCTTTCCCATGGGTGTAGCAGGAGGGGCGGAGTTTTGGCGAGCGAGGAAGGAAGGAGGGGTGCGGAGAGGAGCGACGGGGGTGTAACCAGAAACAACACTCGACGGGGTAACCGGTATGGTAACCCTATTCGGCACACCACTGGATGGGGTAATTCCGCTAATTACACTAGTTGAAGGGGTGACCGGATAAATAGCAAGGGCAGATGGGTTTGAGAATGCGGCTATTGCTGCTGCGACTGATGATGTTGATGGTGTTAGGCTGTTAGGGGTGGGAAATGTGGGTGTGATTATATCAGTGGGAGTCATTACATTAGCAGGGGTGGTAAGAGAGGTGGGTCCAGAGGGGTTCAGCGTGGTTTCAGAGGGGTTGGGTGCGGTTCCAGAGGTGTCAAAGCGGCTAGTTGTTCTGTGTGGGGGCTTGTGCTGCTGACTGCTTGTTCCAGGAATCGCTTGATTTGATTTCAACTGTGATTGTGACTGTAACTGAGTGGCTGACTGTGGGGCTTTAAACTGTGACTGTGACTGTGTGCTTGTATGTGGAGCTTTAAACTGTGACCATGACTGTCCTTGTGTGACTGTACGGGGGGATTTGAACTGTGACTGTGCACCTGCATTGCCCCCCATGAACACAGGAAGCGGGCTCCACATGTTGTCAATGGCACTCCCAAACACCTCCACCCCTCCCAACCACTCCCTACCCTGCCACACACTGCCACCAGCCACACCGGCACCAACCGCACTGCTATCCATCACACCGCCACCAACCGCACTGCCACCAGCCACACTAGCCCCTGGAACATTCATGTCTCCTCCTGCTCCTTCTGCTCCTTCTCCTCCCCTCACTCCTCTCCCTTCCCCTCCTGCATTTATCACCGACTCTCCTCCTAGTCCCCTTCCTGCCATCTCCCCAACCACCCCACCTAACGTTCCCCCAATCACTCTCCCACCTTCCCCTGACCCTCCCCCTCGCTCCGAACCAGTCACTCCCCCATAGCTCGCAGCCTTGCCTTTCCTCCCAATCGCTCCCCCCCATCCCCCGCTCCCCTCCCCCTCCTCCTCCTCCCCCGAATCCCACGTATCGTGATCTACAGGGCTCCTAGGGGGGGTGGAGGAGCGTTTGTAGGCTGCTAGTGCTTGAGCAGCCTTGGCTGCCGCTACAGACGTGGCAGCAGCGCCGCTTGCCAGCGAGGCGGTGAAAGCGGCTGTAGCGGCAGGAGCAGGGATGAGGGCAGGGGCGGCTGTAGCAGCAGCAGGAGGGATTAGGGCAGGAGAAGTGGGAGCGAATGTATCAGCAGGGGGGACAGCAGGAGGGGCGGATGTAGCAGGGGGGACAGCAGGAGGGGCGGATGTAGCAGGGGGGACAGCAGGAGGGGCGGATGTAGCAGGGGGGACAGCAGCAGGGGCGGATGTAACAGGGGGGAAAGCAGCAGGGGCGGACGTAGCAGGGACAGCAGGGAGAAGAGCGGCCGTAGCACTGGAAGTGTTAGCAGGGGCGGTTGTAGCAGGGGCGAGCGTGACAGGAGCAGAACCACCAGTGACAGAGGTGTCATTTGTAGCAGCAGCTGTGGCATCTGTAGCAAAAGTTGTGACTTCTGTAGCAGAAGCAATGCCATCCGTAACAGCGGTGCCATCTGTAGCAGCAGCGGTGGGATCTGTGGCAGCAGCAATGGGATCTGTGGCAGCAGCGGTGGGATCTGTTGCAGCAATGGTGACATCTGTAGCAGCAGGAGTTTCATCTGTAGTAGCAGCAGCATCTGTAGCAGAGGCAGCAGCAGTAGCAGCATCTGTAGCAGCAGGCCCATCGGCAACATCTATTGCCGCAACAGAACCACTGGCACCAGCAGTAGCAGGAGCACCACCAACATCAATTGCTGAAACAGATTCACTGGCATTAGTGGCAGAAACAGCTGCACTAACACTAGCCGTAGCAACAGCATCATCACCAGAAACACCATCAGCAGAATCAGCAGTGGGAGAAGAGGGCACAGCAGTAGCAGAGACAGTGGCAGCAGCAACAGCAGTGGCAGCAGTGGCACCAGTGCCAGCTGTGGCAGCAGGAGTGTTAGCAGCAGCAGCAGGTGCGGCGTCAACTGAAGTCCCATCGTCCCCAACAGAAGTAGGCACACCATCCTCCTCCTGAACCACTGCGGGAACCCCCTCTGCAGGTGCATCAGCAGCACTGCTATCAGCAGCACCACCGCTGCCCCTGCTGCTGCGCCTGCTGCTGCTTCTACTGTGGGAATCCCTGACAGAATGCAAGCTTTCTTGGCTGCTGCTTCTGCCCTTTCCCTTCCTCCTCCTCCTCCTCCTCTTGCTGCTGTTGCTCCTCCCGCTGCTGCTGCTCCTGCTACTATTTCCGCTCTTGCCACTGCTCCCTCTGCTGGCAGTGCAGCTCCTCTTGCTCCTTCTGCCCACACTTTCGATACCACTGCTGCTATTACCACCATCGCTGCAGCTGCTCCTGTCATCACCAGTACCGGTATGACTGCCACTGCCCCTACCACTGCCGCTACCACTACCCCTACTGCCACTGCCACTGCCACTGCCACTGTCACTGCCACTGCTGCTGCTGCTGCCATCACTATGGTTACTGCTATGGTTACCACTACTCGGGTTACCACTATGGTTACTGCTATGGTTACTGGCACCATCATCAGTATCACTGCCCTTGCTCCTGCTGCTCTCCGCACTGCCTGACCTGCTTCTGCTGCTGCTCCGTCTGCTGCTCCCTCTGCTCCCTCTGCTCTCCCTACTGCTCTCTCTACTGCTCTTGCTGCTGCCCCTGCTGCCCCTGCTGCTGCCCTTCTTGCTACCCTTCTTGCTGCTATTCCTGCTGCTCCTATCACTCTCCCTATCTTTTTCACTAGTTGGAGTGCCACCCCTGCTTCTGCTTCTGCTTCTGCTGCTGCTGTGACTACCCCCGCCTTCACTCGCACCATCCTCGTTATAAGAATCCCCAGAACTGTGTCTGATCACAGAAGGCGCGTTTATAACACTACAACTGCCCGCATCCCCGTTAGAAGACTCTCCAGAACTGTGTCGGATCACCGAAGGGGCGTCCACAGCACTACTACCATTGCTATTCGATCTATACACGTCGGATTTCACTGAATCGCCCTGAATTCGGTGGTTTCCCCTGCCTTCCTGCTGCCGCTGCTGCTGCTTCTGCTGCTCCTCCTCCTTCTGCTGCTGCTGCTGCTGCCGCTGCTGCCACCACTCCTCCTCCTCCTGCTGCTTCTTCAGCTGCTCCCTCCGCCATGCCTCTTCCTCATGCTGCCGCCTCTGCTGCTCCTGCAACAATGCCTCTCTCTCTCTTTGCAGCTGTAACTCCCTCTCCTGCTGTTTCCGTTTCTCCAGCATGACTCGTCTCATATCCCCCACACGTATACTTGGCAACCTCAAGATTCCTTCTCCTTCCCCTTCCCCTTCCTGCTGCTGCTGCTGCTGCTGTTGCTGCTGCTGTTGCCGCTCCTGTTGTTGCTGCACCTCCCACTCCTGCTGTTCCCTTTTCTCCTGCATTACTCTCCGCATATCCCCCACCCGTATACTCGGCAGTCTAAGCACCCCCATTCCTCCCCCCTCGTCCTCCTCCTCTTTCCCCCCACCACCCCTGCTCTCTCCATCTCCCTCACTCTCCTCCCCACTCTCCCCCTCCTCCCCTTCACTCACCCCATTCGCCTCCCTCCCCTCCACACTCCTCTCCTCTTCCTCCTCCCTCACTCCCCCTCCCACCACACCCCCACTCTCCTCCCCGTACAAATCCTCCTCCTCTTCCTCCTCCCCATACCCCTCTCCATACAAATCCTCCTCCTCATCCTCATCCTCTTCCTCCATCCTCACAGGTACAACCTTCACCAGAGACGCCCCCCTCACGACACCCCCCAGGCTCTGATTCCTACCTCCCAAACTCAGAGTCCGTCCCCCTAAGCTCATCGTTCTTTCTCCTAGCCCGGGCATTCGACCCATCAGCAACCCTCTCTCTGCTGCTCCAGCCGCCACAGTAGGAGGAGCAGCCCTACCAGCCCATAGGGTGCTAGACCGAACAAATTCCGGAGCAGCAGCGGCAGTGGGATTGGCAGAGGGATTGGCAGAAGCAGTTAAAGCTGCGTTCTCTCTATAAGCAGCTGCGTTAGAAGCAACTGGCGCTTTAGCGGGGGGAATACCGCCCCTTGCTCCCCTGCCCACCCATAGGGTCTGAGAGCGGATGAAACCGTTTGGTTCCAGTTTGAGCTCATCCCTCTGCTCTTCTAATGGGGACAACGGGCCTAGGTCTAGCCTGCGGCCATAACTCTGCTGCTGCTGCTGCTGTTGCTGCTGGGAGTACTGCTGCTGAGAGTGCTGATACTGCTGCTGTGGCGGCTGCTTTCTAGCTGCTAACGCACTAACTAGCCCACCCCCACCACTGGCAGCAGAAGAAGCAACAGAAGCATCATCACCGCCAGCAGCACTGCCACCACCACCACCACCAGCACCCGAGGCCAGCTCCTTTCCTGCAGAGAACGAGCGAGCAAAAGCAGCACCGAATCTCTGAGCCAGACTCTGCATTCCCCCCCCATATGCACTCTCTCCGTACCCTCCCTGGCCCCCCTGCTGCTGCCCTCCCTGCTGCCCTCCCTGCCCTCCCTGCCCTCCATACCCTCCGTACCCAGACCCCTGTGCTACACCCACAGGGGCAATGAGCGTCCCTCTTTGTCCCCCATATAGAGTTCCTCCCGGTACTGATTGGCCCGCTCCTCCTTCTGCGCTCCTACTGGCAGGTACACGCTCCGTTAAAGAGCGATTGAATACAGGCAGTAAGCCTGCTACACTTCCGGACATGGTTCGTGAAGGAGGCTCGGATTTAGCTTCGGAAGCAGCTTCGGTTCGAGAGTTAGTGTTAGGGTTATGATTAGTGAAGCCGGAGCCGAAGCTAGCGAAAGAGACCGAGCTGATTACCGAACCTGGAGTGGAGGTTTGGGTGTGTGTGGACGAGGAGGGAGGCCTGGAAGTGGGAGCTGCAGGAATCTTAGGTTTGAAGAACAGGGAGAAAGTGGAAGGGAGAATGGACGAGGAGGAGGAGGAGAAAATGCCCTCTCCTCCCTCCTGCTCACTGGCAGAAGCACCAGCAGACGCAGAAGAAGCAGAAGAAGCAGAAGAAGCAGCAGAAGCAGAAGAAGCAGCAGAGACTGTCGCTGCTGTAACCGCTGCTTCTGCAGCTGCTGGATTCGCTTCCACTGCAGCAGTGCTCGCAGGCGTTGCAGCAGCAGCAGCAGCAGCTGCAGCAGAGGGCGAGTGCGTTGCAGCAGCTTTACCGCGCCAGGGCCTAGGGGAGAGGGCTGGCGGGCTGCTAGACGGGGGAGCCGGGCGAAACATGGGCACTGACGGTGATGCAGACGCAGTGGGAGCAGGGGCAGTAGCAGCAGAAGCAGCGGCAGCAGCAGCACCATCACCACCACCACCAGCACCAGCCCTGGTCACAGCGCCATTTATAACAGTGGTGCTTGCGGCTGTAGCAGCTGATACTGTTGCAGCTGAGGCTGTAGCAGTTGCAGCTACAACCGAGGCTTCTTTGTCTCTCCCTTGTGCCGAACCTGGTCTGGACGAGCCTGATCCACCCCTGGACAATCCCGAGCCTGGTCCTGAAGACGCCGAACCTGGCCGCGACGACGCCGAACCTGGCCTTGATGACGCCGAACCAGGCCGGGAGGAGGCTGAACCTGGCCGCGATGGCGCCGAGGCAACCACTCTTCCTGCAAGACCTGTCGTCCCTCCCGCTCCCGCTCCCGCTCCCGCTCCCGCTCCCGCTCCCGCTCCTGCTCCCGCTCCCACTCCCACTCCTGCTCCTGATCCCGCTCGCACGGTTGCATCTGCTGCCACACCCCTGGCCGCTATCCCACCAGCCATCACATCCCTAGCAGCACCGCCCGTCGCCTCAACCACCCTTTCTCCCACCGCACTCCGCTCATCCCCACCCGCAACTGCCCGTATTTGAACCTGGTGTGTTTGTTGAGCCTGTTGTGCCTGCTGTGCTGCTTGTGCTTGTTGTGCCTTCTTCCAGGCGTCTGAGTGGCAGATAAGGTCTAAAAGCTGCCCCTTCTTGAGCTTCCACAGCCCGTCCTGTGCCGTGAGCAGCACTGCGAACAGCTGCAGCACCTCCCGCCTCTGCGCCTTGAGGCTTTCCGTGGTCAGCCCGTGGGACAGCAGGACCGTCTGGTAGGTCTGCAGTAAGAGAAAAAAGGGGGAAGGGGGATGAGAAGACTAGCAATGAATATCACCTCCCGTCGCTGCACCTCTTTCTTCCAAAAGCTCCTCTTTCTGAGTTGGGTGGAAAGTCTGAACAGTGTTGAAGGTATTCTAAGAGGTGTTCTAATCGGTACCCTAAAACTTGGAGCCTACGAACGCCCTTACGAACGTGCAGACCGCTTTCGAATCGCTACCGCCTGTTAACCGACTGCTATGACTGCTAACCGCTAACGTCTCACACATACCTGTAGCAGAGCCGGGTGCGAGGTCCGAACAGTGTTGAGATACTCAAAGATGTAGATTCGATTCGCGGCACTCTCCTCTAGACACGCCCACGCGTCCCTGTCCCCCAGAAACGCCTTTATCAGCGCGCAGTCCGCCCCCTCAAACTCCAACCTCCGCGTTGCACCTGCGCCACAGACTGCAAACCGACTGCTATGACTGCTAGCCGACTACTGTGACTGCTAACCGGCTGCTACATCAGACTTACCTGCAGTAGAGCCGGGTGGGAGGTCCGGACAGTGTTGAGATATTCAAAGATGTAGATTCGATTCGCTGCACTCTCCTCGAGACACGCCCACGCGTCCTTGTCCCCCAGGAACGCCTTTATCAGCGCGCAGTCCGCCCCCTCAAACTCCAACCTCCGCGTCACCTTCCACCCGCGCCAGTCCACCACTCCCGCCCCGCCCCCTCCGCCCGCTCCGCCGTCCGCCTCCCCTCTCCCCCCGCCCAGCGCCTCCCCGCTTCCGCCGTGCCTGGTATCCCCGCTCCCATAATTCTGCTGCTGCTGCTGCTGCTGCTGTTGGTAGTGATGGTACTGCTGTTGTGCCTGCGCCTGCTGGTGATGCAGATGCTGATGCTCCTGCTGTAGCAAGTGCGGTTGTAGCGGGTGTGACTGTAGCGAGTGCGGCTGTACTGGGCGCGCCTGCCCATGCGCCAGCTGCCCCCGCTCCCGCGACTGCGCTCCCCCGTCCTCTTCCGCGGACCCCCTCCCCCCCGCCACCGCCCCGGACCCATTCCCCCCAGACGACTCCCCAACCAGGCTCCCCACAGACCCATTCCGCGGTAACCGCGCGCGGGCGGACCGCTCCCGCCGCTTCCCCTCCGAGCTCCCCCCGCTGTCCGCCGCGCCCGCGGACAGGGACGCGGAAACGGCGGAGTTCCCCGCGCCGGCTCCGCTGGCGGTAAACGCTTTCCGCCGCGCCCTGCGCGCGCTTCTATCCGTCGCGTCGGACCGCGGCGAGCTGCGGTTACTGGAGCTGCTTATAGAGGAGCGCGCAGACGACACGCGGGAAGCCGCGTGACTGTTTCCCCCCGGCGCGTGCGCCTGACTGGCGCTCTGCGCGCTAGCGTGGCCGTAGCCTTGGTTGTAGCTGTGGCTGTAGCTCCGTCTCCCCCCCGGGTCCTCGTCTCTATCCGCTTCCGCCAGAATAGCGGCGGCGGCGGCAGAGGCGGCGGACGTGCCCGTCCATGCGGGGTTGGTTCCGCTTCTTCCTGCGCCCACAAATCCGCCTGCTGCGCTCGCGGGGACGGCTGCTCCGCCTCCCACCCCCCGGGTTGCGCCAGTGGCGGAAACAAAAGCGGAAGGCGGTGCAGCAACGGGAGCGGCGGAAATATAGGCGGGCGCCGCCCCTGGGGGTGGTCCACGGTACGGGGGTCCGTAAGACGCGTTGGAGGCAGATGAACCGGAGTTGTAACCGTACGGGGAGATGTAACCGGCTGTGCCCGGGACAGCCGACGTGCCGTACGGGCCACGGTAACCGGCCGTGTAACCACCGTTATTCGGAGCACCATAACTGGTTCCCTGAGAAACGGACGTACTGGGGTAACCAGACGAGGAGTTTCCTGCAGACGGAATAGGGTAACCCGATGCACCAGTGTAACCTGAGGTCGCATAAACTGGTCTGACAAAGCTATGCTGTTGCTGCGGCTGTGGCTGTGGCTGCTCGGGAGTTGGAGCCGTGTCAATGCGAAGACCACGAAACCTTTCCATAGAAAGTTTTAACCGTTACGTATCAACCATGCAAGAGAGGGTTGTTCGAATAAAACCATAACGAATCAGCTTTCCTCTGCGATGCGCCTGCAAACGGAACGGGTGATGTGGAGACGAGCGAGAGGCTCGTTAGCCATAATTGGAAAAACAAGTAAAATCAGGAAATCAGGGGAGACGGCTGGGGCCTAGTGATAGCTTTTAGAGAACAGTCCAATCGTTTTACTATGGCAAGCCGCACCTAGACATGTGCTTCTCCCGTGTGGCATTGTTGCACGTCCCTATAACGGGGATGACTTCCATCAGGTACTACCTCGGACCTCCTCTTGCCGGACGAACCACACGCGGAACGCAGGCAGTGATAACTTATCAGCAGTAGGGCGACGAAAGATCTCGAAACGACGAGTCTACAATCAGTTAAATCATGTTCTAGGCGATCAATACGGGAGCGGAATATACATACAAGGGATGGAAGGAACAAAATACAACACACAAGATAGGCGTCGCATGCGCATAGTACTGTGAACTAACCTCTACTGAACCCTAAAATCGGCAGTCGTGTTGTGCTGCTAGCTCACAGAGTGAAAGTAAGGAAACCCTAAATAGGTGGTTCCATCCACTGTTTACCTGTTGAACCTTGAGGAGTACGACATGTGCGACGCAGTCGCCCGTACCTTCACGAACAAGAAAGAACATTCGCGCGAAGCTTTGCTCAGCTGGGAGCCTGGGACTTTTGTCGCCAGTCAAGAGTGATGTGTTTCCTGCCCTTTCGCTGATCTATCAGCCGAGCGCGCTTGCGACAAGATCGAGGGGCGAACGCCTGCCATCAATCAAAGGTGTTGGGCTTGTTACCAATCTCGGGAAATACGAAGGAAGGGGTTAGCCTTGTAACGAAGAAAGGACGGAACCATTGTACCTCAATGACAGTGTACTTATGTGGAGTATTTATTATGACCTATCCTTGACAACATATATAATGTTTGGAACAAATCTTTGCGTCTATGTAAAGTATTTCTTTTTTTATGGCTCACAAATTTGTTCCAACGGAACTCAGATATCTGTCACTGAAGCATGTCAGCATCACCTTAACACCGCTCACTCCACCCAGCAAGTATGCAATTCACAGTCGAGATTTCACTTTGACATCAATAACTTTGTCTCGCTTGTGCTCAGGCTGTGGTGGAAGTTTCTTGACGAAAACCGTCAAGATGCCGTCCACACAGGCAGCCGTCACACGTTCTACGTCTGCATCAGACGGAAGCTGAAACTCCCGGGTAAAGCTCCCGTGCACTCTTTCTCTCCAAATAAGCCGCTCGTTAGCCGACTTCTCCTGACGACGCTCTCCCTTGAATGAAATAACAAGCGTTTCAGGATCAACTCTCACTCTCAAATCCTTCCCTTGAAACCCAGGTACGTCGACACGGAAAACATACTCAGTGGGTGTTTCGACGATATCCAGCGGGGCCATGCGCAGCAGAGAGAAATAAAGGGCAAGTGTTCACTGGTGCGGGAGCCTGGGACAACGGAAGGCAGTCGACAGTGAAAACCAATTGACGAGCTGCGCCTTATGACTCACTGTGCAATTCCACAGCAACCGTTGAATACTTGTGCGTTGCGTGTGGGGGGGTGCAAGAAGTAGACTCGGTTCGGGAGGGATGAAAGTTGGGCGCTGCTAGGACTTTCGGGAAGCAAATCGAGGACTTGGTCGGGAGGCGTGTATTTTGGTGCTGTGCTGAGCGAAGTACATGTGCGACGATATCAACACCAGATATGTTACAAGGGGTTTTACTGTTCACTTTGCACAATAACTCCCAACCCCATCCTTATCCTTATCTTCTTGGATTTCCTAGTGTCACGTGGCACTCTACTTTTCTTGCTTCTACTTTCTAGTCCCACGAAGTACTTTCCGACATTCGACCTTGCGTGCTGTATCATCCTTGCTTGTATCCACCAATAGCAATCAATTCTTATTCATCAAATACTCAGTTACTTCTTCGCCTATTTCACCAACACATCTTTCTCCAAAGTCTTCTATCGCGCTTTATCCTCAATTTAGTCAACCCCGCTAATTCTTTGGCAAACTTAGGCCATCTGGCCTAACATGTTACGTAAATGGAATAACAATTTTGCGAGTTCTATAATCTTATTAAATCGTGCCCTGCAGCTACAGTCGATAATAGAAAATGTTTCTTTGCATAGTGCCATCACGAGCCATATTATTCATAACAGATCGTTGAGCATTTGGGATACAGAGCAGCGGAATGGAATAATGTAAATAGAGAATAAGGGCGTATTCCTATCCTCCTATCAAGAAAACCTCCTATCAAGCTCTCACTGGAAAATTCCCTAAACCCAAAATCTCTCGCTACTTTTACCAGGCAAAAGGTACAATCTTGATAGGAGGTTTCTTGATAGGAGGCCGTAGGAATACGCCCTAAGTGAAGTACTACAAACAAGATTCGACGTTAACGTCGGAACGGTTGCGTAAAACTTATGTTTTTTTCATGCTAAGACATGATGAACTGCTTGATATTATACTTATGGTATGTAGATAAAGCAACTAACTATGTCTTTTTATACCATGTTTGTAAGTTCTTTATTTCGATACTGCTCATGGTAATATTTTACTACCATTGATTGTAGTTAATGGTAGAAGAGTTAAAGACCTATAAATGTATTTGTTTGTCTAAGAAATATTGTTTTCTAGTGATTTTGTGTATTTGCAGCCAAATCTTGTATGTCACAAACAGCTAAAAATAATCATCTACAAATTTCTTGATTTTGGCGAGTATAAGGAACTAGAATACTTCGATTGTTGAAACTGGTTTGTATTTGTACCCAACTTTCACTTAGTCCATTCATTCTCGTTTCAGTTTTCTCATGGTATCAGAGCAGGTTCCCTAGTGGGAACTGTGCCTAAGGCCCACCAAGTCGATTTTTTTTTTCCTGCCCGGAGCGCGCTCAGCCCGAGTCGCGCTCCTCTCTCCCATCTCGTCGAGCCGCTTTTGCGACTTCGTCGCGTCGCCCTAGCGGCCCCGTCGCCCTAGCGCCCCCGTCGCCCTAGCGGTCCCAACGCCCTAGCGGCCCCGTCGCCTAGCCCTACGGCCCCGTCGCCTAGCCCTACGGCCCCGGCGCCGCCCTGTCCCGGCCCCGCCGCCCTTCGTTGCGGGCCCGCCGCCCTTCGCTGCGGCCCCGCCGCCCTTCACTGCGGCCCCGCCGCCCGTCGCTGCGGCCCCGCCGCCCTTCACTGCGGCCCCGTCGCCCTTCACTGCGGCCCCGCCGCCCTTCGCTGCGGCCCCGCCACCCCTCGCTTCGGCCCCGCCGCCCTTTGCTGCGGCCCCGCCCCTCTCGCTGCGGCCCCGCCGCCCTTCTCTGCGGCCTCGCCGCCCTTCGCTGCGGCCCCGCCGCCCCTCTCGCTGCGGCCCCGCCGCCTACCTTGCGGCCCCGCCGCCCTTCGCTGCGGCCCCGCCGCCCCTCTCGCTACGGCCCCGCCGCCCCTCTCGCTGCGGCCCCGCCGCCTACCTTGCGGCCCCGCCGCCCTTCGCTGCGGCCCAGCCGCCCCTCTTGCTGCGGCCCCGCCGCCTACCTTGCGGCCCCGCCGCCCTACCAGCGGCCCTGCCGCCCTACGCAACCAAGCCGCCCGCACCGCTAAGCAGCCCGAGCCGCCCGTTCCGCCCGAGCCGCCCGAGCCGCACGAGCCGCCCGAGCAGCAGGAGCCGCCCGAGCCGCAGGAGCCGCCCGAGCCGCCCGAGCCGCCTGAGCCGCTAAGGAGCCAAGCCGCTGGTGCCGCAGAGCCGCAGTTGCTGCTGAGCCCCCCGAGTCGCCCGAGCCGCCATGTTGCCGAGCTGCTTTGCTGGCGAGCTGCCCTAACCGCCCTGTCTGGTGAGAGCAACGCTTCTGTCACTGCACTGCCCCTGTCCTACAGTTAGCGCTGCTAGTCTACTACAGTCATGGCTACCCCCAGTGTTCTCGCTTTTGACGCTAAGGGTCGGGCCATTGACTTTGAGGTCTGGGTAGATGACCTGCATCTTTTCCTACAGAGCGATAGGGCAGACGGTCTCTCCCTCTTTGACCTCACCTCTGGTGCCTCTCCTGCCCCTACTGCCGATGCCGACGCCACTGTTCGCTCCCAGTGAGCCACTTGCGATGCTGCTGCACGTCTTGCTGTGCGTCGCCACCTACCTACCACTGAGCGCGCACACTTTAGTCAGTACAAGAGTGCTCAGACCTTGAACGACGCCGTAGTTTCGCGCTACTCTTCCCCTGCCACTGCTGCACTGAGCCGCCTCATGCTACCATACCTCTTCCTTAACCTTGCTGCCTTTCCCACTGTCGCTGACCTCATTACGCACCTCCGCATTAGTGACACTCGCTACCGCGCTGCGCTTCCTGCTGAGTTCTGCGCCAAGACCCCCCCCCCCATGTATATCACTCTCTACTACATCGTCACCCGTCTCCCTGACTCCCTTCGTGTAGTCAGAGACCACTTCCTCTCAGTCTGTCCCACCACTCTCACTGTTGACCTCCTAGAGAAGGCCCTTCTAGCAGCGGAGAAGACCATAGTCGCTGTAGGAGCCTCTCGTGGTGACCCTCACGCCCCCATCTTTGAGGGGTGTTCCCCTTCCCCCCTTTTGCCCTCTGTCGCCTCTGTTGCTGCGGCCGATCTCGTTGGTCTTGAGTCGGTCGGTGCGGCGTCTGCCCCTAGTGAGCGACGCCGCTCTGGCAAGGGCAAGGGGGCCAAGGGTGCGGGAGGAGCTAGCGGGGGTGGTGTAGGTTGCGGTGGAGGCGGCGGAGGGAGTGGGGGTGGAGGTGGGGGTGGTAGCGGGGGTGGCGGTGTCGGTGGCAGCAGTGGAGGCGGAGGCGGCAGAGGCGGTAGCGGTGGGAGCAGAGGTGGCGGTGGTGGCGGCGGTGGAGGCGGCGGAGGTGGCGAAGGTGGAGGAGGCGGTGGTGGAGGAGGTGGAGCTGGTCGGGGTGGCGCTTCACAGCGGAGCGGCTCCGGCGGTGGTCAGCGCCAGCCGCAGCAGCAGCAGCGTTCTCGGGACATCCCCCCCCCTCAGCAGCTCTATGAGTGGTACGTTGCACGTCAGCGTGGTGGGGGTTTTGGTCCGTGCACCTACGTCCTTCGCACCGGCGACCGCGCGGGTGAGCAGTGTGGGGGTGCCCACCACACCCAGCGCTGGTTTGGCCGCCAGACGGCACTTGACGTCACCAGTTCCCGGAGGCTGCGGAGATCCCCCGCTGGGGAGAGCTGTCTAGGGCGGGTGTCGCTCTCTTTGATCTTGACTTTGATGCAATTCTTGCTGCCATGTATGCTGTGACTATAAGTGATGAGGGTGACTGTTACCGGTGTTTCCCGCCCGACCCGGGCATTGAGACTACTGCTCTAGGTGCTGGTGAGGCTGCTGCTCTAGGTGCCAGTGCGACTGTTGCTCTAGGTGCCAGTGCGTGTGCATCCTCAGGTGCTGGGGAGTCTGCGCTCTCAGGTACTGCGTCGGCCTCGGCCTCCCTCACCTTCACACTTGACTCAGGGGCTTCTCGCTCCTTCTTTCGAGACCGCACCACACTCACGCCGCTTGGTCGGCCGGTTGCAGTCTCCCTGGCAGACCCCTCTGGGGGTCCTGTCTTTTCTCACTTCTCCACTGTCCTCCCGTGTCCGGCTGCCCCCTCTGGCACCTTGTCTGGTCTTTACCTCCCCTCGTTCTCTACGAACTTGGTGAGTGGTGCTGACCTACAGGATGCGGGGGTTCACCAGTTTACTCCTGCGAGTCAGCGGGTGACCCACTGCTCGGACGCTCGCACAGGCCGGCACCTAGCCACGTTTACGCGTCGGCCGGGGTCGAGCCTCTACACCCTGACCACTGAGTCTCCTTCTGTCCCTGCGTCTGGTCAGGTAGCTGCGTCGAGTCAGGTGTTTGCTGCAGCGTCCAGGTCTGGTCCTGAGTGTGCCCCCTGCTCGTGTCGTCTCCTGTCTCACGACACTCTCCTGTGGCACCACCGTCTTGGTCACCCTTCCCTGCCTCGTCTCCGAGGCATGGCTTCCTGTGTACTTGTCTCTGGTCTTCCCCGGTCCCTCCCTCCCATTCCTCCGGGGCCTGGCCCCTCCTGCATCCCTTGTGTCGAGGGGCGGCTACGGGCTGCCCCTCACTCCTCTCAGTTTCCCTCGACAGAGGCCCCGCTGCAGATGCTTCACATGGACGTGTGGGGCCCGGCCCGCGTCCGTGGACAGGGTCACGAGCGCTACTTTCTGCTGGTGGTTGACGACTACTCGCGTTACACAACAGTCTTCCCTTTGCGCAGCAAGGGTGATGTCACTGAGGTGTTGATTGACTGGATCCGCGCAGGTCGTCTCCAGCTCAGGAGGAGCTTCGGCTCGGACTTTCCTGTTCTGCGTCTGCACTCTGACCGAGGCGGAGAGTTATCCTCTGGCCTTTTGCGAGCCTACTGCCGTGCGCGAGGCATCCGCCAGACCTTTACGCTTCCGGACTCTCCACATCAAAATGGGATTGCTGAGCGCCGCATTGGCATGGTCATGGACGTCGCCCGTACGTCCATGATGCATGCAGCTGCCCCCCATTTCCTGTGGCCGTTTGCGGTTCGGTACGCGGCGCATCAGATCAACCTTCACCCCATGGTCTCCATGCCGGAGACCTCCCCAGCTTTGCTGTGGACGTGGAAGGTAGGCGATGCGTCTGCGTTCCGTGTCCGGGGATCTCGGGCGTTTGTCCGCGACTTGTCTGTGGACAAACTGTCCCTTTGTGCTGCTCCTTGTGTCTTCCTTGGCTTCCCCCCTGACGCGCCAGGGTGGCAGTTCAACCACCCCACCTCTCATCGTGTTCTGTCCTCCCAGGTAGTCACGTTTCATGAGTCAGTCCCCTACTACTGCCTCTTCCCCTACCGCACTCCCTCCCTCCCCTCGCCTCCGCTCTTCCTTGTGCCAGGTCCCCCCCCGATAGACCCCCTCCCCCCGAAGGGTCCTGCCCCTTCAGGTGTGTCCCGAGTAGACGCGGTCGAGCCGGTCGAGGTTACTGGTGACTCTGGTCCTGCTGCGGGTGCTGAGCCTGGGGTTGCTACGCGTGTGGGTGCTACGCCTGGGGGTGTTGAGCCTGGGGGTGCTGAGCCTGGGGGTGCTGAGCCTGGGGGTGCTGCGCCTGGGGGTGCTGAGCCTGGGGGTGTTGAGCCTGGGGGTGTTTCGTCTAGAGCTGCTGAGGCTGGGGGTGCGGAGCCTGCGGCCGCTAGACCTGCTCGTGTGGCGTCTGGCGGTGCTGGACCTGGAGGTTCTACAGGTACTTCGTCTCGGCGAGAGCTACTCTCTCCGCAGAAGCTGCACGACTGGTTTGCCCGGCGCTGGAGGCGTACTGCTGGAGCTGGAGCTTCTTCAGCTGCTGAGGGTGCTGGTGCCGCTGGTCCCGGAGGTGCTCGTACTGGGAGTGCTGGAGCTGTTGGGCCTGCAGATACGACTGGAGCTGGAGCTGCTGAGGGTGTTGGCGCTGAGGCTACAGCTGTCGTACCTGGCGGCGGTCCTGCTGCGGGTGCTTCTGGTACTGCAGCTGGAGGTGCTGTTGGTACTGGTGCTGCTGCTGGGGGTGCTGGTGCTGTCCCTGCTGAGTCTGGAGTTGTCGCGCGGCCTCGGCCGTACTTCGTTCCGCTCCTTCTGCAGGTTCTTGGTCTTCTTCCTCCCTTCGAGTGTCCACCGCCTGTCCAGTCACAGTCACAGTTACCGCCGGCCTCCCCGCTTCCTGCTCCTTCTCCCTACACTGGTCCTACTGGAGGTCTAGCTGAGCGTCGTGAGCCTGCGTCTCGTCCTGTGTCGCCTGTTCGTGCTGCTCGCACTAGTGGTCGTACTGCGCGTCCGCGTCATCCTCCTTTCCCTGGCACGCACTGGATGTCTCTGCGTCCGTCCACTGCTCCTCTGCGTGCCCCTTTGCCTTCTCCTCCTGAGTCCTCTCTTCCTGCTCTTGCCGACCCGGAGTCGGACTCTCTTCATGCTGCCGATCCTACTGTCAGGCGTCTCCTTGCTACAGTCGTCACTGACCCCTCCTTTGAGTCCACTGCTGCGTCTGCTCTTGTTGCTGAGCTCGTCGACTTTGCTGCTCGCTGTCGTCTAGAATACGCTGCTAGTCATGTTGCTGAGTCTGCGTCTGTGTGTCCTCCGTCCGTCCGGGGTGAGTGTGCTCTTGGCACGGACGTCCTTGAGGACAGGCAGGAGGAGTTCCAGTGTCTGGCTGCTGCTTCACCTCATCTCGTGTCCGTACTGCTTACCCCTGAGGGAGACCCGGATGCACTTGACATCCCGACTCCGCGCTCTTACGCGGAGGCCGTAGAGGGTCCCTACTCCTCTCAGTGGCAGGCAGCTATGGATGCAGAGATGGCTTCCTAGAAGTCCACAGGCACCTACGTTGACGCGGTTCCCCCACCTGGGGCGAACATCGTCAGTGGCATGTGGATCTTCAGGGTGAAGCGGCTGCCAGGTTCTCCACCTATCTTCAAGGCGCGGTACGTGGCTCGTGGCTTCAGTCAGCGGCAGGGAGTTGACTACTTTCAGACCTTCTCTCCAACCCCGAAGATGACCACTCTTCGGGTGCTGCTGCACATAGTCGCTCAACGTGATCACGAGCTTCACTCCCTTGACTTCAGCACTGCTTTCTTGCAGGGTAGCCTGCATGAGGAGATCTGGCTGCGCCGTCCACCTGGCTTCACTGGGACTTTTCCTCCTGGCACCCAGTGGAGCCTCCGACGGCCAGTCTACGGTCTCCGCCAGGCACCGCGTGAGTGGCACGACACACTGAGGACTACGCTTGCGGCTCTTGGGTTTGCTCCCTCTACTGCCGACCCGTTGCTGTTTCTACGCACCGACACCTCTTTGCCGCCGTTCTACATCCTCGTGTACGTCGACGACTTGGTCTTTGCCACTGCTGACACTGCTGGACTCGCCCACGTGAAGTCTGAGCTGCAGAAGAGACACACGTGCACAGACCTGGGTGAACTGCGCAGCTACCTTGGCTTGCAGATCACACGGGATAGAGCACGCCGCACCATTACCCTGACTGAGTCACACATGGTGCAGCAGGTCCTTCAGCGCTTCGGCTTCATGTACTCCTAGCCTTAGGCCACTCCTCTGCCTACTCGCCACTCGCTCTCAGCTCTGCCTTCGGATGAGTCCGTAGAGTCGAGTGGCCCGTACCCAGAGCTTGTTGGCTGCCTCATGTACCTGATGACCTGCACACGACCTGACCTTGCATACCCTCTTAGCATTCTTGCATGCTATGTTGCTCCTGGGATACACAGACCGGGGCACATGGCTGCAGCGAAGAGGGTGTTGCGCTACTTGTGCAATACGTCGCGCATGGGGCTACTGCTTGGAGGGCAGAGTCCAGTGGTCCTCACTGGGCACGCAGACGCTTCTTGGGCTGACGACCAGACTACGCAGCGGTCGTCACAGAGTTACACCTTCAGCCTTGGTTCCGGCTCTGTTTCGTGGCGGGCTACCCGCTCGTCTTCTGTTCTCGGCTCCAGTTGTGAGGCTGAGATCTACGCCGGGGCCATGGCTGCACAGGAGCTTCGCTGGCTCACGTACCTGCTGACTGACCTCGGAGAGCCGCCTCGTTCTCCTCCAGTGCTGTACGTAGAGAACAAGGCCATGCTGGCCTTGTGTCGGGAGCAGCGCCTGGAGAACAGAATGAAGCACATTGCTCTCCGGTACTTTCTTGCTCGTGAGCTGCAGCAGCGTGGTCAGTTGCGACTTGCGTACGTGGCCTCTGAGGCCAACACTGCTGATATCTTCACTAAGACACTTGCGCCTTGTGATCATCAGCGCTTCTGTACACAGCTTGGTCTTGTGCCTACCTTGCCTCACTTGCTCACTTCTTGACCTTTCTTGTACTGTCACATATATATACTCCTGCTCTTGCTTGTTTAGCCTTTATATGTATATATGTGCTCCTGGATGTGAACTGGCCTTGTGGCCTTGAACTTGTGCTCGGACAGTGTGGTGACTTTGTGATCCACCCTGAGCTTGCTTTGCTTTGCTTTCCTTGACTGGTCTTGTGACCCCTTGTACTCCCCCACTTTGCATATGGGGGTGTGTCAGATTTATATGACATAGCTATTGTAGGCTATAGTGGGGTAGCACATATGGGGTACAGCTTTCTAGGGTTTGTATTTGTACCCAACTTTCACTTAGTCCATTCATTCTCGTTTCAGTTTTCTTAAAAATTTTCTTGCCAGCGCTACACAAACTCAACCAAACGTTTCTCCACTCCCTTGGGAGTCCCGTTTCCTGTATTCGATCACCTGCTCGACTTTGATCTCCCCTTATTCTTCCCACCCCAAATACCTTCCCACTCGTTTTTTAAGAACCACCTTGCCGTCACCTCTCCCTCACTCCCGCCCGTCGCCTCACCTCACCCCCCTGTCAGAATGTTATTATCTAGCCTGTAGTGGGGTGCTCTATAGCGGGTACAACCTAGTTAGGGTTTGCTATATGTATCCCAATTGCTGCTAGTGAAACCCCTCCTTTCTTCAATTATGTTTCTGCCTGCTAACTTTGACATGGTTTCAGAGCAGGTCGACCCCCTTGGGTCGATCCTGTGGGTGGGCCCACCACCTAACTGCTTCCGCTGCTACTTCGTTGCACCCCCCGTGGCGTGCGACGCCTTCTTCTTGTCGCGGCGCCCTGGGGAGCCGCGCGCGCCCCCTTGCGCGTCCGTTTTGGCGCCCTGAGGAGAGACGCGCGGCCCCTCCTGTACCGCCCCCCCCCCCCCCCCCCCCCCCCCCCCCCCCCCCCCCCTTGTTGCTGTGTGTTCCGCGGTGGTGGGAGGTGTGGGGTGGCGAGCATGGGGGTGCGCGGTGTGGGTACTCCCCTTCCCTCTCCCCGCCTCCTTATTCATCTCCCACTGCTGCAGCTGTTGCTGAGGGGGGTGGAGGTGTGGGAGCCGAAGGGAATGGGGCTAGGGGGGTGACGTAGGAGTGGAGTTAGGGGTTCAACAGGGGGTGTGTATCAAGGGTGTGGGTCAGTTGGAGGAGGTTGTGTGGAGGTAGCTGTCGTGTCGCCTGCAGCGCCTGTAGTCCGTCGCCCTTGCTTCGGTAGCCAGTGAGCCTGTTGCACCAGTCGCCAGTGGGTCCGTTGCTCCTGCCGCTCGTCTTTGCCGTGGAGCCAGTCACTCCAGTAGTCCGTCGCCCTTGCTTCGGTAGCCACTGAGCCAGCCGCTCCTTGGCCGTGCCTCTGCAGCTTCAGTCGTTGCCTCCCATCTTCTTTTCTTCCACAGTTCCTCCTCCTCCTCACTTGCCCGCTGTGATTACCTCTAGCTTTGCTTATTATTGTGAACTCCTGCTATGCCTGCTCATTCTGCAGATTACACCCCACTTTGGCTATGGGGGTGTGTGAGAATGTTATTATCTAGCCTGTAGTGGGGTGCTCTATAACGCGTACAACCCAGTTAGGGTTTGCTATATGTATCCCAACTGTTGCTAGTGAAACCCCTCCTTTCTTCAATTCTGTTTCTGCCTGCTAACTTTGACACCCCCACCGTCGCCTCTCCCTAACTCCCCGCCGTCGCTCTCCCTTCTTCCTCGTCGTCGCCTCTCCCTCCCTTCCCGCCGTCGCCTTTGGTGGATTGCTGCACGACCATGCGTTGTTTTCTTAGGGTCGGTTGTCTAAGGTGCGTTTGCTACTCTCTCCGAAATGTCATCTTTTTTCCACTTTCCTCGTAAGTTCTCAGTGCCGATTGGTCTCCTCTTAGCATTGTGCCTCCATTTTAAGAAGGGGAGAGAGGGAGTGTGAGGGAGTATGAGGGAGAGTGTGCGCACGGGAGCAAGCACGCAGGCGCATAGCGCGCTGGCGCCTAACGGGCTGGCGCCAAACGCGCTGGCGCCTAGCGCCCTGGCGCCTAACGCGCTGGCGCCTAACGCGTAGGCGCCTAGAGCGCGCCTAGCGCGCTGCCGCCTAGCGTGTTGGCGCATAGCGCGCTGGTTCCTAGCGCGCTGGCGCCTAATGCGCAGGCGCCTAGAGCGCTGGCGTCTAACGCGCTGGCGCCAAACGCGCTGGCGCCTAGCGCGCTGGCGCCTAATGCGCAGGCGCCTAGAGCGCTGGCGCCTAACGCGCTAGCACCTAGCGCGCTGGCGCTTGCTGCCCTAGCGCATAACGCGCTGGCGCCCTATGCGCTGGCGCCCTACGCGCTGGCGCCTTACGTTTGGCGCCTTGCAGGTGCCCTCGCAGCGCGCTGGCACCTTGTAGCATGCTGGCGGCTTGTCCGCTGCTGCCTTGTTTGCGGCGCTGGCAAATTCATGCGGCAGCGTTGTTGCGGCAGCGCTCTGGTAAATTACGCGCTGGTAAATTTGTGCACACGCTCACGCATTGCTGCAGTGAGCTCACGGGTTGCTGCAGTGAGCTCACGCCTTGCTGCAGTGAGCTCACGCCTTGTTACGGCAGCCCGCTTGCTCCTCTGCCAGTGCCTTGCTGCAAGTCTCTGGCACCTTGTAGCATGGTGATGCCCAGCTCGTTGCACCAAGGAACCTTGCTCGCTGGAGCCTTGCTGCTCACCAGCGTGGTGTGCGTGACCCCAGGGGATCTATGCTTCAAACCACGCTTGTGAGTCGTCGAATTCGGTTTTCTTTTGTACAATCAAGTGCGTGTTCGTCATTGAATAGTTCACTCCGTTTTCCGACTACAATTCTTTTTCTTCTTGACCTGTTTGTTTTGCAAGGTGTGCGAGACACGTTGTGGGGAGCAGGGAGGGATCGAGAGAGAAAACAATGTGGAAAAGGGTGGGAGGAGATTTCGATGGTTGAGGAAGAGGAAGGAAGGCAGAAAGGGGGAGTAAGGGGGGGACAAGGTAGCAGTGATTGATACATAATTAACTTTTTGCAACTCTTTGTTATGCTTGTCTGCTCTCAATCCTATTTGTATATGTATCTGTGCGCGTTGCGGGTGTGTTTGTGCGGGTGTGTGTTCATGTCTTGTCATTGTGTTTGTTTCACTGTGGGGTTTTACGTGCGTTTGTATTCGTGTTTGTGGGATGTGTGTTTCAAAGTGTGGTGTTAACATGTGCTATGCATGCAATTAGAGGTTGTTAATCGTCTTTGGGGCATCGTGTTTTCGTTGTTTCAACGACCCCATCAACCTCTGTTGCTGCATGATGCATTTTAACATTCATTTTGAAGCATTCACTCCACCTTATACCTTGTTCATTTGTACAATTGCATTCGTTCATGTTGATGCCAGAATATTATGCTCGGCCGTACGATCCGCCGTATTTATCGACGAGGTTGTGACGGTCGAGCAAGTTCATGGTTTCAACATGATACGTACGTGCTTACGTGTTTTGGGGATCTCATTCAAGAGTGTTTTTTATCCACTGTTTGAGGCATCTGTTTGAACACAGTTTCAAAACATTCAAACGAGTGCTCCAAAAAGTGCGTAAATAACACTCTTCGAATGATATCCCTAAAATGTGAAACCAAATATAAAGGGTTGCTACGCAACCCAAAAATCAGGGGTTTATATTATAAGGATACCTACTAATGGCCTAAACTTCTCTCATAATCCTAAAAGCTGTGAAAATGATCATTTCAGAAGTGTGCCTTGGCAAGCTAGCGAAACTGAGAACGAGTTGCACAGTGAAGCGGTTTAAAATTTGTCTGTCTCAGCTCGGCACCTCGTTTCTGGAAGCGGGAATCAAGCATTGCACGGTAGATGTAGCAGCAGCACCCTCTCCTAGGAAACAGAACACTTACCAGCAGTAGCGGCTATTGCAGCACGCTCCTAACGCGTACGTTGAGGAAGGCCTTCCTCAAATTCTTTCCCTCCTCCCCCAGTCAACACTTTTTCCCACAGTTTTTTCAGTGGGAAGTAGAGTGTCGGTTCCTAGACCTGGCTACTATTTGGTCCTAGTTAGTGCATCACTGCACGTGACAGTGCAGGATTAAGTACATTTTTTGCGGCTGGAACATATTTAGGTCTCGGATCGGCGTTTAGGCGCCTGCGGATCGACCCTTCTCCTGCATTGCCGTCCGATCGCGTCTCCCTCCGCCATTTACCACCGCTTTGCACCGTGTGAGGCTTTAGGCTTGTACACCGCGGTTTTTGTCGCTCTACCTCAAGTCTCTCCTATTCTCTGATCTTTTAGGCGTTGCAGTTTTGGCGTTTGACTGTGCACCGGTATTACAGAACATTGCTGATTCGTGATTCGCGATTGCTGATTTGTCATTCATGATTCATAACTGGTATAGTACAAATTCATGATCCGTGATTCAGCTTTTTCTCTACAGATCCCCTCGTCTGTTTGATCCCCTCGCCTGCATCTGTCTGATTTAACAGATGCACGTCTGCACTCTGACACGACAGACAGGCAGTGTTGTGTCTCTTCGGATCTATACGGGTCTAGCTTGTGCTTTCTGTAGCCCTTATGAGACGTCTCAAAACTACACTTTCTACACGTGACGTCTGCACTTAGACACGACGAACAGGCAGTGTTGTGTCTCTTCGGATCTACACGGGTCTAGCTTGTGCTTTCTGTAGCCCTGTTCAGGACACCATGCACTCTTCGCTCTCTGTACTTGGTCGCATCGGTCAGAATACCTCGTCTCTTATAATCCCGTGGGTCCCTTCGGTCTCTTCGGTCGAAGCGGATCCATTCGTCGTTGCTGATCCGATCGATCACCGATAGATCGTTTATTTGTCAGTTTGTGTGGGTACATATGGGGTTTCCCGACTCGCTAGTGTACTGATTTAGGTTCCTCGCTGTAATGAGTTGTCGCCTCCTCGTTTCCTGGAGGCTTTTTGGCCTACGCGAATAACACCAGCGGGTTTCCAGCTACATCTCGGTTACCTTCCAACCCCTCCTCCATTCCCGCGCTACCTTTTTCAAGATACAAAGTAAGGAATGAGAGGAAGGGTTGGAATATCTGGCCCGTGTCGTCGTTATTACGAGTCGCATCTCAACGGTTGGGATGTCGCAGCAGGAGCAGGCGCTATATTTTGATGAATCGAGAATCGCGTAAAGATAACCTCTCTTTTTCCCCGTTCTGCCACCTTTCCCTCCCCCGTTCCCCTCCACTTCCCCCCCTCCCCCCCTCCCTTTCCCTTCTCGATCCAGGGCCATGTCGCAACAGGAGCAGCAGCTTCCGAGCAGTGCTAGCGGCGCAAATAGCGCTGAACTCCCCTTATGCGTCTCTTTTCAACCCCGTCCCCCTCCTCCCCCCCCCTCCCTCTTCTCCCCACCCCCCTTTCTCCCCTTCCCCCCCCTCCTCCTCCTCCCATCCTTCCCTCCCCCCACCCCAGAACCATGTCGCAGCAGGAGCAGCCGCTTCCGATCAGCGCGAGCGGCGCGGAGGGCGCTGACGTGGACGAATCAGGGGTGGCGCAGTCGCCGTCGTCCGCGAATCCCGCCGCGCCGTCCTTCGCGTCGTCGTCGCTCTACGTGGGCGATCTGGATGTTAGCGTTACAGAGGCTCAGCTCTTCGACCTCTTCTCGCAGGTAGGGGAAGTCTGATCCAATCCCTGAACACTCGCCGTTTCTCCCATGCCCTTCCCTCCCCTCCTCTTCCTTCCCTTCCCCTCCCCTCCCCTCCCGTCACCCCACCCCCCCTTTCCCTCTCCTCCTCCTCCTCCTCCCGTTTCCACCATCCTCCCCTTCCCTTTCCCCGCTCCCTCGCATCCTTGTCCCTCCCAAATCTCTGACCTCGATGCGAGCGTCACAGAGGTAACGGGAATGAGAGTCCCCCTCCCAACCTCCCCTTCCCCACCTCCCACTCGCTCGTCCCTCCCCACCTCCCACTCGTCCCTCCCCAATCTCTCATCTCGATGCGCGTGTCACAGAGGCGCAACTCCTGGACCTCGTCTCGTCTCGCAGGTAGTAAGAAGCGATATTCACCAAGAAGCATGTAGTGAGTGGGAAAGATGGTCACTCGCCAGCCAGTCCCCATGGCTGCAAGCACATCTGTGTTTTGAGTCGACTCAAAACACACCTAGATTCACCAAGAAGCATGTAGTGAGTGGGAAAGCTGGTCACTCGCCAGCCAGTCCCCATGGCTGCAAGCACATCTGTTTCTCCCTCCCCCACTTCCCCCTCTTACCCCCCCTTTCCCCCGCCGTCTCCCTGCCTTGTCAGTGGTCCCTGTAGCGTCCATCCGCGTGTGCCGCGACATGGTCATGCGGCAGTCTCTGACTGTGTCACCCCATGTAGTGAGGCGTATTTTGAGGCGTATTTTGAGGCGTATTTTGAGGCGTATTCTGAGGCGTATTTTGAGGCGTATTTTGAGGCGCCTCAAAATACACCTCACGTCACGCAGCAGTCTCTGACTGTGTCACCCCACCCCACCCACTACATTTGGAACCTAGTACATCTGTGTCCTCCTCCCTTTTGTTTGAGGTTGATTTTGAGAATTCTGAAAATCAACCTCAAACAACATGGTCACGCGGCAGTCTCTGACTGTGTCACCCCGCCCCACCCACTACATTTGGGACCTAGTACATCTGCGTCCTCTTCCCCCGTGTTTGAAGAAGTGTTTTGAGACGTCTCAAAACACTTCTTCAAACATTTGGGATCTAGTACATCTGTGTCCTCCTTCCCCACCCCTCTCCCTCTCCCTCTTCCCCCCCCTGCTTCTCCAGGTGGGCCCTGTGGCGTCCATCCGCGTGTGTCGCGACATGGTCACGCGGCAGTCGCTGGGATACTCGTATGTCAACTTCAGCAGCAGCCAGGATGGTGAGTGTTACTGTGTTACCACCACATGCTTACAAGTATACGTGCACACACACACTCACTCGGCAGTCGCTGGGATACTCGTATGTCAACTTCAGCAGCAGCCAGGATGGTGAGAGTGAAATCAATCCCCACCCAACACCCCATTATGGTTTGCAGCTGCACAAGCTCTCGATCGCTTTTGAGAATTCTCAACACCTCTCGATTTGACTTTTGAGTCGACTCAAAAGTCACCTCAGCTGCACAAGCTCTCGATCGCTTTTGAGAATTCTCAACACCTCTCGATTTGACTTTTGAGTCGACTCAAAAGTCACCTCAGCTGCACAAGCTCTCGATCGCTTTTGAGAACTCTCAACACCTCTCGATTTGACTTTTGAGTCGACTCAAAAGTCACCTCAGCTGCACAAGCTCTCGATCGCTTTTGAGAACTCTCAACACCTCTCGATTTGACTTTTGAGTCGACTCAAAAGTCACCTCAGCTGCACAAGCTCTCGATCGCTTTTGAGAATTCTCAACACCTCTCGATTTGCCCAATTTCTCAAATGTTGCCCACATGGACATGGGTATTCGTCCCATGCGCATGGGTATCATGCTCTCAAATATTCGCATCAGCTCGTCCCATGCGCATCATGCTCTCCCACTCCCACCACAACCCGTGCATCATGCACCCTTGATACCGCCCCCCACCCCTCTGACACCCCTGCCACCGCTTTGATATTCCCCCCCACCCCTTGAAATGCAGCTGCCCGAGCTCTGGACCTGTTGAACCTCACAAGCGTGGCTGGTTGTCCCATGCGCGTCATGTTCTCACACTGGGACCCCTCCATCAGACAGTTTTTTTACGGCCCTCCATCCCTCTGAAATCCCCCCCACCCCTCTGACGTCCCCCCCACCCTTTCATATCCCCTTTAACCCCTTCAAATGCAGCTGCGCGAGCCCTTGACCTACTGAACTTCACAAACGTGGCTGGGCGGCCTATGCGCATCATGTTCTCGCACCGGGACCCATCCATCAGACGCAGCGGCACTGGCAATATTTTTATCAAGGTGGGTTTTGAGTTGACTCAGAAGTATGATTGCAGGCTCTGAGTTGACTCAAATGGTGTGGCTGTTGGGTTGGGGGATCCCTCAATTAGACGGACGGAGCGGCACTGCCAACATCTTTATCAAGGCGAGAGATTCATTTTATGTTAAACTATTCGAGTCGAATAAAGGTTTTATGTGTGGTTTTTGTCTTGAAAGTTTAGATGCGTCGATTCTCTCCTGCCGCGTCGTCGCTACAGACGACAGTGGGTCATCCAAGGGTTTGCGTTTGTGCGGTGACTTACTCTTCAGACCGTCTCCTTCCCTGCTTTCATCACTCCCTTTCCCACCCCTTGGGATCCCCTCTTATTCCATCCAAACCCCTCAGAATCTCTACAAGAGCATTGACAACAAGGCCCTGTACAACACCTTTGCAGCGTTCAGCGTGTGTGCGTGTCTTTCTGTGCTCATCTCTCCCCTTTCCATCCACCCAAACCCTTCAGAATCTCGACAAGAGCATTGACAACAAGGCTCTGTACGACACCTTTGCAGCGTTCGTCTCGTTGCGTTTGGTGACTTAGTGTGTTTCCGTGCTCCCATCACCCCCTCCAATTCAAACCCTTCAGAATCTTGACGAGAGCATTGACAACAAGGCCCTGTACGACACCTTTGCAGCGTTCGGCTCGATCCTCTCCTTCCGTTTGGTGACTTAGTGTGTTTCCCTGCTCTCCTCAACCCCTTCCATCCTACCCTTCAGAATCTTGACAAGAGCATTGACAACAAGGCTTTGTACGACACCTTAGCAGCATTCGGCTCGATTCTCCCCTGCCCTCAGCACTGCACTCCCTTTTCCAACCTCTTATCCCCCCCTTTCTTCCATCCAAGCCCCACAGAATCTTGACAAGAGCATTGACAACAAGGCTTTGTACGACACCTTTGCAGCATTCGGCTCGATTCTCCCCTGCCCTCAGCACTGCACTCCCTTTTCCAACCTCTTATCCCCCCCTTTCTTCCATCCAAACCCCACAGAATCTCGACAAGAGCATTGACAACAAGGCGCTCTACGACACCTTTGCAGCGTTCGGCTCGATCCTCTCCTGCCGCGTTGCTATGGACGACAGCGGAGCCTCTAAGGGGTTTGCGTTTGTGCAGTTTGAGAAGGAGGAGGTGGCAAAGGCGGCTATCGAGAAAGTCAATGGCATGCTTATTGCCGGAAAGCAGGTGAGCTCATAACGAGTACAGTACAGTGAACTTATAACAGGTACAGAGAGGGAGGGGGGCATCCAAGCCAAGGGGTTCGCGTTTGTGCAGTTTGATAAGGAGGAGGTGGCAAAGGCAGCGATTGACAAGGTGAACTGCATGCTCATTGCCGGGAAGCAGGTGGGCTTATAGCGAGTACAGTGAGCTTATAGCGGGTACAGAGAGGAGGGGGACGTCAAAGGGGTTTGCGTTTGTGTTGTTTGAGAAAGAGGAGGTGGCAAAGGCGGCTATCGAAAAAGTCAATGGCATGCTCATTAGGGAAAAGCAGTTGGGCTTATAGCGGGGACATTTAGCTTGTAGCGAGTAAAGTGAGCTTGTAGCGAGTTAAGTGAGCTTATAGCGGGTGTAGTGAGCTTTTAAACGGGACAAATGCTTTCGTGATATTTGTTTGCTCTTCCCTCCCGTTTCTTCCCACCATAGCGCTTCCCCACTTGCCCCCTTCCAACCCCCCCTCCTCCAGGTGTTTGTAGGTCTCTTTGTGCGCAAGGCAATGCTTTGGCCTTTCCTCGCCTCCCTCCCCACACCTGCACTTCCCCACTCCCCCCTTCCTCCCCTCCCTCCCCACACCTGCACTTCCCCACTCCCCCCTTCCTCCCTCCCTCCTTCCCTCCCTCCATGCCCCCTCTCCTCCTCCAGGTGTTTGTGGGTCCCTTCGTGCGCAAGCAGGACCGCAGTTCAAACGACAGCGACGGCATGGGAGGAGGGGGAGGGGGAGGGGGAGGAGGCAGAGCAGGCAACCAGCAGCAGCAGCCTCAGTATACCAACCTCTACGTGAAGGGTTTAGGAGAGGAGACTACCGATGAGGAGCTTCTGAAGGTTTTTGCCGCGTTTGGGGCGATCAAAAGCGCTGTTGTGATGCGCGAGGCTGATGGGCGCAGCAAGGGTTTTGGGTTTGTGAATTTTGAAAAAGCGGAGGATGCTGCGAAGGCTGTGGAGGGGGTAAATGGGAGGCGGGTTGTGAAAGGGGTGGTGGTGGGGGGGTGGGGAGGGGGAGGGGAAGGGAGGGGAGGGGGAGGAAGCAGGCAAGGAGGGGGCGAAGGAAGGGAAGGAAGGGGAGAAGGGCGGGGAGGAGACAGAGGAGGGAGAAACGAATGATGGGGAAAAGAAAGAGGAAGAAACGAAGGAGGGAGAAGCGAAAGAGGGGGAAGCGAAAGAGGGGGAAGCGAAAGAGGGGGAAACGAAAGAGGGAGAAACGAAAGAGGGAGAAACGAAAGAGGGAGGAAAGAAGGGAGGAAAGAAGGGAGGGGGAGGAGCGGGGCGGGTGTGGTACGTTGCTCGGGCTCAGAAGAAAGCAGAGAGAGAGGCAGAACTGAAGCGGCGATACGAGGAGGAGAGGCGGCAGCAGACTGAGAGGTATTCTCAGAGGAATTTGTACTTCAAGAATCTGGAGGAGAGTGTGGATGAGGGGGAGTTGATGAAGATGTTCCAAGAGTATGGCACCGTCACCAGCTGTAAGGTGGGTTAGAAGCATGAAGGTGGGTTAGAAGCATGAAGGTGGGTTAGAAGCATGAAGGTGGGTTGTAATACATACAAGGTGCACATGACACGGCAGGGTATTTCAAGCATCTGGAGGAGAGTGTGGATGAGGGCGAGCTGATGAAGATGTTCCAAGAGTATGGCACCGTCACCAGCTGTAAGGTGTGTGTTTTGCAGCTCTTGCTCAATCCCCCCTTCACCTGCACTGTCCCTCCCTTCCATTGAGCGACCAGATCCTCAAGCAGGAGACGGGGGCCAGGCCAGCAAGGGTTTACTTTTGGAAATTCTCAAAAGTAAACTCAACAATCCCCCCTTCACCTGCACTGTCCCTCCCTTTCATTGAGCGACCAGATCCTCAAGCAGGAGACGGGGGCCAGGCCAGCAAGGGTTTACTTTTGGAAATTCTCAAAAGTAAACTCAACAATCCCCCCTTCACCTGCACTGTCCCTCCCTTTCATTGAGCGACCAGATCCTCAAGCAGGAGACGGGGGCCAGGCCAGCAAGGGTTTACTTTTGGAAATTCTCAAAAGTAAACTCAACAATCCCCCCTTCACCTGCACTGTCCCTCCCTTTCATTGAGCGACCAGATCCTCAAGCAGGAGACGGGGGCCAGGCCAGGCCAGCAAGGGTGCGAAGGGCGACCTTGGTGGGCGAAGGGCAAGGGCTTTGCTGGCTTCGTGCTCTTTGCCCTTCGCCCAGCAAGGTCGCCGGTCTTGCTCCCTTCTCCACCCATCCATACCACCAAAAGAGCACAACCCCTCCCCTCTCTCCCCTCTTCCCTCCACCTTGTTGCCTTTTCCTTCCACCAGATTCTCAAGCACGAGACAGGTGGCAGCAAGGGTGCTGGCTTTGTGCTCTTTGCAAACGAGGCGGATGCTGCAAAGGCGGTGAGTGTGTCGTACTCTTTGTCCTCGTTATAAGCTCTGATGAGGGTGTACACTACACTTTGTACTCACTATGAGCTGTAAGAATTGGATGCCACTACACTTTGTACTCGCTATGTGCAAAGCTGAGGCTTTGAGGGCTGTGCAATGCATGGGCTTAATAACTTCCATAAATGATGTTCCTTCTGCACGTTACCTTCGTCACCTTTCATTTTCACCTCCCCCTTTCCCTCCACCCTCTTTGGCCGTTCTTCCCATCCCCACAGCTCGCAGCATTGAACAGCAAGATGGTCAAGGAAAGCCACTTCATGTGGCCGTGGCACTGCCCAAGACAGAGAGGCAGGCGCAGCTGCAGGCCATGTTTCAGCAGCAGCATGGTTCTTTTTCGCACACTTGTTCTCTCTCTCCCTTCCCTTGCCCTTGTCGTGTCATCTCTCCTCCCAGCTCACAGCACTGAACAGCAAGATGGTGAAGGGAAAGCCGCTCTACGTGGCCGTCGCACAGCCAAAGGCAGAACGGCAGGCGCAGCTGCAGGCGATGTTTCAGCAGCAGCGGGGGGGTGCGCCCCATGCCCGGGCCCCGGCAGCTGCTGCAGGAGGGTACTATGCCCCCCCAGGGGTGGTGGCGCAGCAGGGCGGGTTTTATGCACAGCCAGGGATGATGCCTGTCCAGGTACGACCTCCCTTTGAGATAACACCTCCCTTTTAAGATACCTGGTCTCGGTAAGGTATAGGTGTGACCTTAGTGGTGGTTTGAGCGGCAGGCACAGCTGCAGGCCATGTTTCAGCAGCAGCGGGGGGGTGCGCCCCATGCCCGGGGGGGTGTGGCTGGTGTCGCTGCTGGTGCTGCGGGGGGGTACTATGCCCCCCCAAGGGGTGGTGGCGCAGCAGGGAGGGTTCTATACACAGCCGGGGATGATGCCTGTCCAGGTACGACCTTCCTAGTGAGGTAACACCTCCCACCCACCTGCTGGTGTGCCTGGTGCTGCAGGGGGGTACTATGCCCCCCCAGGGGTGGTGGCGCAGCAGGGAGGGTTTTACTCGCAGCCAGGAATGATGCCTGTCCAGGTACGACCTTCCTAGTGAGGTAACACCTCCCACCCACCTGCTGGTGTGCCTGGTGCTGCGGGGGGGTACTATGCCCCCCCAGGGGTGATGGCGCAGCAGGGAGGGTTTTACTCGCAGCCAGGAATGATGCCTGTCCAGGTACGACCTTCCTAGTGAGGTAACACCTCCCACCCACCTGCTGGTGTGCCTGGTGCTGCGGGGGGGTACTATGCCCCCCCAAGGGGTGGTGGCGCAGCAGGGAGGGTTTTACTCGCAGCCAGGAATGATGCCTGTCCAGGTACGACCTTCCTAGTGAGGTAACACCTCCCACCCACCTGCTGGTGTGCCTGGTGCTGCAGGGGGGTACTATGCCCCTCCAGGGGTGGTGGCGCAGCAGGGAGGGTTCTATACACAGCCGGGGATGATGCCTGTCCAGGTACGACCTTCCTAGTGAGGTAACACCTCCCACCCACCTGCTGGTGTGCCTGGTGCTGCAGGGGGGTACTATGCCCCCCAAGGGGTGGTGGCGCAGCAGGGAGGGTTCTATACACAGCCGGGGATGATGCCTGTCCAGGTACGACCTTCCTAGTGAGGTAACACCTCCCACCCACCTGCTGGTGTGCCTGGTGCTGCAGGGGGGTACTATGCCCCCCCAGGGGTGGTGGCGCAGCAGGGAGGGTTTTACTCGCAGCCAGGAATGATGCCTGTCCAGGTACGACCTTCCTAGTGAGGTAACACCTCCCACCCACCTGCTGGTGTGCCTGGTGCTGCAGGGGGGTACTATGCCCCCCCAGGGGTGGTGGCGCAGCAGGGAGGGTTCTACTCGCAGCCAGGAATGATGCCTGTCCAGGTACGACCTTCCTAGTGAGGTAACACCTCCCACCCACCTGCTGGTGTGCCTGGTGCTGCAGGGGGGTACTATGCCCCCCAAGGGGTGGTGGCGCAGCAGGGAGGGTTCTATACACAGCCGGGGATGATGCCTGTCCAGGTACGACCTTCCTAGTGAGGTAACACCTCCCACCCACCTGCTGGTGTGCCTGGTGCTGCAGGGGGGTACTATGCCCCCCCAGGGGTGGTGGCGCAGCAGGGAGGGTTTTACTCGCAGCCAGGAATGATGCCTGTCCAGGTACGACCTTCCTAGTGAGGTAACACCTCCCACCCACCTGCTGGTGTGCCTGGTGCTGCAGGGGGGTACTATGCCCCCCCAGGGGTGGTGGCGCAGCAGGGAGGGTTTTACTCGCAGCCAGGAATGATGCCTGTCCAGGTACGACCTTCCTAGTGAGGTAACACCTCCCACCCACCTGCTGGTGTGCCTGGTGCTGCGGGGGGTACTATGCCCCCCCAAGGGGTGGTGGCGCAGCAGGGAGGGTTCTATACACAGCCGGGGATGATGCCCGTCCAGGTATGACCTTCCCCCATGCCTTGTATCAGGCTGAATTCTGAGTCGACTCAAAAGCCAGGGATGATGCCTGTCCAGGTACGACCTCCCCGTTTGCTTTGAGAGGCAGGCAGGCGCAGCTGCAGGCAATGTTTCAGCAGCAGGGGGGGGGGCGCCCCATGCGCTCGCCTGCAGCTACTGCGGGAGGGTACTATGCTCCCCCGGGGGTGGTGGCGCAGCAGGGAGGGTTTTACTCGCAGCCAGGAATGATGCCTGTCCAGGTACGACCTCCCTCTTGAAATAGCACCTCCCTCTTGAGGCACCACTTTCCCTGCTTGGAAAGGTATGGCCACGACCTCAGTGGTGGTTTGAGAGGCAGTCGCAGCTGCAGGCAATGTTTCAGCAGCAGGGGGGTGGGGGGGGGGGGGGGGGGGGGGGGGGGGCGCCCCATGCCCGGGCGCCTGCAGCTGCTGCGGGAGGGTACTATGCTCCCCCGGGGGTGGTGGCACAGCAGGGCGGGTTTTACTCGCAGCCGGGGATGATGCCTGTCCAGGTACGACCTCCCTGCTGGATGGATGGGATGGGGGTATGTTTGAGTGAGTATCAGCCGAACAGCACTTTCTTTCCCACTCCATCTCAACCTCTCTCTACTGGACCCTGTGATAAAAGTAATGCTTTGAGATGGAGTAGGAAAGAGGTTGATTTTCTCAAAACATTTTGATTTTCTCACGTGCCCAGAAGCTCCCTATTCCCAGCAGCCCATGCGGCCACCCACGCATGGTGTTTCTATCTAGCAGGCATGGGTGGGAATGGAGGGATGTTCTCTGCTCCCCTTACCCCTCCTGCTCCCCTCACCCCCCCCTGCGCCCCATCCCTATTCCCAGCAGCCCATGCGGCCACCCATGCATGGTGTTTCTATCTAGCAGGCATGGGGGGAGCAGGAGGGATGGGGTTACATGTAAGCATCGGCTGATTTGAACCCCTCCATTCCCACCCCTTGCCACTCCTTCCCACTCCTTCCCACCTCTTCCCACCCCGTCACACCCTGTCCCGCCAGCCCCCATACCCGTACTCTCAGCAGCCCATGCGGTCAGGCATGGTGCTACCAGTAGGCATGTGGGGAGCAGGAGGGATGGGGGTATGTGTGAGCGTCAGCTGAACAGCACTTCCCTCACCCCGTCTCTCCCTTGCCACCCCTTCCCACCCCTCTCCACCTCTTTCCACCCCTTTCCACCCCGTTCCACCCACACTCACCAGCCCCCATACCCCTACTCTCAGCAGCCCATGCGGCCAGGCATGGGGGGAGCAGGATTCAGGAAGTCAACTGATCTGTACCCTTCCATTCCCACCCCTCTCCACCACTCCCCACCCCTTCCCACTCCTCCCCACCAGCCTCCATGCCCTTACTCCCAGCAGCCCATGCAGTCGGGCATGGTTCTACTAGCAGGCATGGGGGGAGCACCAGGCATGGCAGGGGGTATGGGACGGGAATGTGTGTAAACATCGACTGATGTGCATCCCTCCATTCCCAACACCCTCCACACGTCTCCACCACTCCCCACCCCGTCCCACTCCTCCCTACCAGCCGCCGCACCCTTACTCCCAGCAGCCCATGCGGCCGGGTATGGTTCTACCAGCAGGCATGGGGGGGGCGCCGGGTATGGCAGGAGGCATGGGGGCGCCGGGAATGGTGCCGGGGGGAGCGCAAGGCATGGTGGGGGGACTGAATCCCAATGTGTACATGCGACAGCAGCAGCAGTATGGGGCAGCACAAGGGGCGCCTGTGCAGGTGGGTGGGGGGATTGGGAATGGGAGCATCAGGGATGGGGGCAGGCGGAATGAGGGCAGGAGGGATGGGGGCGCCAGGAATGGTGCCGGGGGGAGCGCAAGGCATGGTGGGGGGACCGAATCCCAATGTGTACATGCGACAGCAGCAGCAGTATGGGGCAGCACAAGGGGCGCCTGTGCAGGTGGGTGGGGGGATTGGGAATGGGAGCATCAGGGATGGGGGCAGGCGGAATGAGGGCAGGAGGGATGGGGGCGCCGGGAATGGTGCCGAGGGGAGCGCAAGGCATGGTGGGGGGACCGAATCCCAATGTGTACATGCGACAGCAGCAGCAGTACGGGGCGGCTCAAGGGGCGCCTGTGCAGGTGGGTGGGGGGATTGGGAATGGGAGCATCAGGAGTGTAGGAGTGGGGCAGGAGGGATGGGGGCGCCAGGAATGGGGCACAAGGCATGGTGGGGAGGACCAATTCCCAATGTGTGCATGCGACAGCAGCAGCAGTACGGGGCGGCTCAAGGGGCACCTGTGCAGGTGAGAGTGGTTAGCTGCCATGGCGGCATGCATTGTGGCGTCTTGTTTGTTGAATCACAACGTGTTCATGCGGCAGCAGCAGCAGTACGGGGCCGCAGCACAAGGGGCGCCAGTGTAGGTGCGTTGGGGGCAGTGGAGACTAGAAGTGAGAACGGCAGCCAGAGTGCAAATCGACTCATAAACCCCTTACCAAATCCCGGCCCCCTCTGTCCTCCCCCTACAGCAGCAGCGGCAGCAGCGGGTGCAGGGAGGGCGCGGGGCAGGGGGTGTGCCTGGAGGGTTGGGAGGGCCAGTGCCGATTCAAGTGCTGGCAGCAGCAGTGGCATCGGCTCAGCCAGAGCAGCAGCGAGCGGTGAGTGGTAGGGAAGGGAGTGTGAGTGTGCACGTGGTGTGGGTAAGATCTTTCCTGTCCGATTCCTTAACCTGAGAATGCGAGAGGAGGGGGTGTGCCTGGAGGGTTGGGAGGGCCAGTGCCGATTCAAGTGCTGGCAGCAGCAGTGGCATCAGCTCAGCCAGAGCAGCAGCGAGCGGTGAGTGTGGGGGAAGGGAGTGTGAGTGTGCACGAGGTGTGGGTAGGATTTTCTCTGTCCGATTCCTTGGCCTGAGATTGCGAGAGGAGGGGGTGTGCCTGGAGGGTTGGGAGGGCCGGTGCCGATTCAAGTGCTGGCAGCAGCAGTGGCATCGGCACCGCCAGAGCAGCAGCGAGCTGTGAGTTTGTCTAGATCAATTGATACTAATGGGGTGTGAGACTATGTTGGAAAAGTCGCCAGAAACCATAAGCGCACTCCGTATAGTCGTTTACGAATATACGGTGTACGCAAGTCGTACGTATATTCGTTGGCGAAAGTTCGGGCTGACCCGAAAAAAAAAACCAGATTTCAATAGTCGCGCACGAATTGCGAATGTGCGACGCGACTCAAAATGTACGCACGTCCCACCCCAATTTGTACGCACATCCCAACCACATTGTCACCCACACCTGTCAAAATGTGGGGACGTGGGAAAATTTGAACCGCACTGCACCCTATGCTATCGCGCGACTTCAACACACAAACACGAATGTCGTCAACCAGCGTAGGTGGTTCAACCACATCCTGGACTATAAGGTAAGCTCTCATTCCCGTCATCTGTATTATCTCTCTCGTTCATTCTCTCTCAACAGTCCCGCTCACCTGCACTTGATGTCGACTCCTTCTGGTACTCCCGCAAGTGCCACTAGTGAGGCTCCTAGTGTTTCGAATGACGCGACCATGGCGGACGACGAGGATGTTCCTGTGAACACCCATGTTATTTTTAAGCATTTCCTTACCTCTACCGAAGGTACCTCGAATGGTCCTGAGCGTACTCTCCGCATATGCCGGCACTGCAAGCTTAAGTTCGTAGGGGGCGCCTTAGTTGCACTGCGCGCAACACATCACGCACTGGAAAGGGCTGAAACGGAAGGACGTCCGTCTTTGCAAGGCGCCTATCCCTTCTGCTGACCGCGGCGCCGTCCGCGAATTGTACGAAGGCAAACACGCCCGCAGGGAAGGGAAGAAGAAGGCGGAGGAGATGGCGATCGAGGCGTGTGCGGGTGGAGCGAAGAAGCAGTGCATCGAAGACTTCTACGGGGAAGGGGCGTCGTGTGCGAAGGAATCGGTAGACGACGCCATCTGCCTCATGTGGGCGGCACTTCACCTCCCGGAGCATCTCGCCGATCACCCTCTCTGGCGCAACGCTGTGCGCTGCATCACGGACGCGGGCCATGGCTACGTTCCCCCGAAGCGGCGGTATGTTGGTGGCGCCGGCCTTGCGCGCTGCCGCGAAAAGATCGAGAGGGGGCTCGCTCCCATCACTGCGAGCTGGAAGCGGGATGGCGTGACGATAGGCTCGGACATGATGACGGACAAAAGTGGCCGTCCCCAAGCCAACATCCTGCTCATCAACGATTCCGGTGCAGTGTTCACCGAAAGCATCGACTGTAAGTTGGAGACGAAGATGGGAGGCTACATTGCATCCGTTTTGCGCCCGATCATTGAGAAGGTGGGGCCCGCCAACATAGTTGCGTTATGCATGGATGGGGGCAGCAATTATGCGGCTGCATGTAGGGATTTCATGCTTGAGTATCCTCACATTGAGCATGTGCCGTGCGCTACTCACGTCATGGATCTGCTCATGGAGGACATTGGGAAAATGGATTGGGGGAAGGACATTGTGGCTAAGGCGGGGGTGATTATTACCTTTGTGCGTGCCCACCATTTCATCAAAGGTTACATGCGAAGCCCGCAAGTGAAGGGAGGGAAGGGGAAGCAGGTGCTGAAGCCGGCGGGCACCAGATTTGGCATGCAATTCATCGCGGTGCAGTGGCTTTGCGAGGTGCGGAGTGCATTGACGCAGATGGTGCTGAGCCCGGAGTGGCAGGCTTGGGCGAAGGGGAGGAAGCCGCCGGTCGAGCCCTTCGCAACCATGATCATGGATGCCGTGTGGTGGAAAGGTGCGGAGTTCTTCGTCGCCCTCCTGAAGATCCCCTTTGTCGTCATGCGCAAGACCGACTCGACGGCCAAGGGCATGATGGGCAGGATGTACGATCTGATGCTGCAGCTCACGGAAGACATCAATGCGAAGCTGGAGGAGGAGGAGGCAGGATTGGTGCTGTCCAGCAGTGAACGCACGGAGGTGACCAACATCGTCCAAAAGCGCTGGGACCATAGCATGGCGTGTGCCATGCACGTGGTTGGCCGGATCCTCAACCCAGTCAACCAAGAGGAAGGCATCTTCCGCACCGACCTGGAGTGTACTCGCGTCTTCAAAGCGTTTGTCGCTCGTCACTACACAGGGCGGACCGTCACGCGCAAGGATGGCGAGGAGCTGCGCGCATCCCACGTCATCCAGGACGGCCTGACGGCATTCAACACCATTCAGGGGAGCTTCGGCCTACCCGACGCCATCTCTGACCGTGAGCTCGTGAAGGCCGGTAAGAAGACGGCTGTCCAGTGGTGGACGTGGCACGGGACGGAGCACCCCGAGCTGACAACGCTCGCTTGTCGCGTTCTCTCTCAGCCAGTGTCCGCATCGGTGTGTGAGAGGAACTGGGCAGTGTGGGAATCGATCCACACTGCCAAGCGCAACAGGTTGGGGTCTGAGAAGTGTCGGGACCTCGTGTATGTTGCGCACAATTGGAACATTGTGCGCAACTGGCACAAGGGGGCTGAGTGGGTGACGGTTCTCCCGGGGAACATCCTTGAGGCCTCCCTGCCGGAAGGGTACAACGAGGTTCTGGAGGAGGATGAGGAGGAGGGGGAGGAGGATGAGCTGGAGGATGAGTACAAGTAGAGGAGGAAGGAAGGGACGGGGGGAGTAGAGGGTGGGAGTAGGGGGTGGGGTAGGAGAGATGCATGTTGCTTGCTTCGAGTAGTTGAGAATGGTGGGTTTTTTCAATATATGAAATTCTGTAAAACCACCACTCCCCCCCCCCCTCCGGCGGTTTTTTTCGTCTGCCCGGTAAAAACCTTTTGCTGCCCAGGCAGCGTACTTTCTGCGACTTTCAAAGTCACTCACGAAGCGCATAACGCACTATACGCAAGCGTATATACGCTTGCGTATGATGCGCTGGGCGCGACTTTTCCAACATAGGTGTGAGAGTAGGTGTGAGAGTAGGTGTGAGAGTAATCGCGGGAAAGTAGGGGTGTGTGATCTTTCACTTGATCCAACTGCTGGTAGGCATGAGCAGGGGGCGAACTCGAACATGTTCGTGTTCGCCCCCTGACGAACATGGCCTTCTGCCGAACCGAACAGTGTTCGGTTCGGCGAACGACTTGAGTGAAAATAGGTGTTCGCCGTTCGCCCTAGGAGGCGAACGAATTGCTGCAACAGGCGAACACGAACATGTTCGTGGCGAACATGTTCGTGTTCGCCCAGGGGGAAATTCAATATAGAGTAAAATTCAAATCGTCGCACATTCTCTCCCCCCACCTCCCAAGCCAGTCCCGCCCTGCTTCATCCATCTAGTGCCAGCGTGCAATGGCGAAATGCTAGATCCGCACTTAAGCAGCGGCGAAATGCTAGATCCGCACTTAAGCAACGGTGAAATGCTAGATCTGCACTTAAGCAACGGCGAAATGCTCGATCCGCACTTAAGCAACGGCGAAATGCTAGATCCGCACTTAAGCAACGATGAAATGCTCGATCTGCACTTAAGCAACGGCGAAATGCTCGATCCGCACTTAAACAACGGCGAAATGCTCGATCCGCACTTAAGCAACGGCGAAATGCTTGATCTGCACTTAAGCAATGGCGAAATGCTAGATCTGCACTTTACTAACTGCGAAAGGCCAGATCTGAGCCCAAACACCAAGGCCCGCGACCTAAAAATTGGTCGCGGGCCTATTCGTCGACGAACACATTGGTGTTTGTCGAAGGCCCGTGTCGAACACGAACACGTTCGTGTTCGACGCGCCTCGGCGAGCTGAGCCGGGCGAACGGCGAACGTGTTCGGGCGAACACCGAACACGTTCGCCCCGAACAATTTTGGCCAAAAAAAAATCCTTTTCGGTTCGCCTCGAACGTGTTCGAGGCGAACCGAACAGGAGTTCGTCATATTGCTCATCCCTAACTGCTGGCAACAGCAGTGGCATCGGCTCAGCAAGAGCAGCAGCGAGCGGTGAGTGGGTGTGAGTGTGAGAAAGAGAGAGGGGAATCAGGGATTTGAAAACAAGTATGGTGGGGTTGTTAGTGTGGTTGCATGGATGGTCTTCTTTCTTCTGTTGAGGCGCCTCAAAAATCGCAATGAGGCGCCTAAAAAATGGTGGGGTTGTTGTTAGTTTGTGTGGTTGCACGTTACTTCCTTTTCCTCTCCTCTCCTGCTCCTCTCCTGTTCCTCTCCTCTCCTCGTCTTCTCCTCTTCCCCTCCGCCTAAGTTCTACACCCTAATCACCTCCTCTCCTCTCTCCCATCAGATCCCGGGCGAGCAGCTGTACCCTTTAGTGGCCCGTCAGGAGCCGGAGCATGCGGGCAAGATCACGGGAATGCTGCTCCCTTCCCCTTCCCCTTACCCCCTACTTCCCTCTTCCCATCTCTATCAGATCCTGGGGGAGCAGCTGTACCCACTTGTGGCGCGCCAGGAGCTGGAGCATGCGGGCAAGATCACTCCGCTCCCTCTTCTCCTTTCCTCTCCTGTTGCTCCCCCTAATCGCCTCCCCCCCATTCTTCAGATCCTGGGGGAGTAGCTGTACCCACTTGTGGCCTGTCAGGAGCCGGAGCATGCGGGCAAGATCACTCCGCTCCCTCTTCTCCTTTCCTCTCCTGTTGCTCCCCCTAATCGCCTCCCCCCCATTCTTCAGATCCTGGGGGAGTATCTGTACCCACTTGTGGCCTGTCAGGAGCCGGAGCATGCGGGCAAGATCACTCCGCTCCCTCTTCTCCTTTCCTCTCCTGTTGCTCCCCCTAATCGCCTCCCCCCCATTCTTCAGATCCTGGGGGAGCAGCTGTACCCACTTGTGGCCTGTCAGGAGCCGGAGCATGCGGGCAAGATCACTCCGCTCCCTCTTCTCCTTTCCTCTCCTGTTGCTCCCCCTAATCGCCTCACCCCCATTCTTCAGATCCTGGGGGAGCAGCTGTACCCACTAGTAGCACGTCAGGAGCCGGAGCATGCGGGCAAGATTACGGGAATGCTGCTGGAGATGGACAAGGGCGAGCTGCTCATGCTGCTACCCCTCCCTCACATCCCTGCCTGTTGCCTCCCGCCCCTCCTTCCCTACCTGCCCTGCCCACCCTACCCTCCCTGCTGTCCCTGCTCACCCTAAACCTGGAACCCTAATCGGCTCTTCCCCCTAATCAGATTCTGGGGGAGCAGCTGTACCCACTTGTGGCCCGTCAGGAGCCGGAGCATGCGGGCAAGATCACGGGAATGCTGCTGGAGATGGACAAGGGGGAGCTGCTCATGCTGCTGCAGTCCCCAGACGCCCTCCGAGCCAAGGTTTCCGAAGCTCTCGATGTGCTTCGGATCGCCGCTGCCATGGCGGCCGCCTCCACTGCGGACCAAGGCTCGGGATGATAGGTTCGGGATGAGAGGCTCGGGGTGCTAGGTTTGGGATGATATGTTCAGGAATCGGGATCCATTCCATCCATCACACCATGTTGCTCTTGTGGCATGCTGTGCTTTTCAAAAGGGATGACTTTAGGGTACAATACAGTGTTACTTCCTATTTCTGCCTCGTGTGTCGTGGTGTGAACATTTTAACTACCCGAGTTTATGTTGCACTGCAGTTTCAACGTAATTCAAGCATTATGATTTTGTTTCAACAATTACCACACCACTCGATGGTGTTTGCTCTGAGAAATCTGTAGGCATCTTTCTCGCTATATGTGGATGGAGTTTCCATTGTTAGTTTCCAAGTTAAGCTTACCGTATGTAGCCGTATAGGGATCGTTATTACATCGTTTCCATGATATTTGTGTCAGTAACGAGCGATATCATGGCTGGGGTTCCACGCAACCGGAAAAGGCTGACGTGGTTCCTCAACAATCGCCACGCCAAATCTTCGAAACGAATTGGCTCTCGTGATTTGAGCTGACGCGTCACCTCTGTGGATTTCTCGCGGCTCGGCGCAAACAAATCGGGGAAAAGCGCCCGCACTGCCCAGCAGCTCTGGCGCGGTGAAGTCGTCAGCGAGACTCCGCCGCGCGGAGCATAGCATCTTGAAAGTTGCGCAGAGCGGAACTTCGCTGCGCCCATTCCGCACCCCCTTATCCCTTGGAATTGCCACGATTGGTTGCCTGGCTGATCTGGAAGCCTGAAAGACTGGAAGCTAGGAAACTAGAAGCTTGAGAGCAGGAAAAGTAGGATTCCGGCCTGGGTTGACTACAAGTTCCTAGAATCCCATTTTCTACGGCCATTTTGTGTTTGCCATTCTTCCCTGCTTGGCAAGTCTAGTCAGGCCATAGTTGTCTGATTGCCTTCCAGTTTCGCTGCAAGCTTTGCTGAATACCTTTTACCCGCAGCTTAGCCTGCTCGTATCTTGAGGAAAGCTAAGAAATTGACAGCCATGGCTGCCATTGCCAAGTGCGCCGTGCCTTCATTCACCGGCCTGAGGAAGAACCAGATCTCCCAGGCTTCCTCCAAAGCCTCCTCCCAGCAGAATGTGAAGGCGAAAGCCTTCGCCGTCCGCGCGGTTGCGGAGCCAGCCGCTAAGAAGCTGACGATCGAGGAGGCGGAAGCGCGCGTGGTCGCGGGGAATCCCCCCCCTGCTCCGGCCGCCAAGCCCCGCCCAGCAGCTCCAAAGGGAACGCCCATCGTCGAGCCGCTGGTCCGTTTCCTGAGTAGAGAATCTAGCGTTCTTGCAATTGGCTTTCGTAGTCGTCGACGTCGTTTTGACGCTGTTTTATCCCATGCAGACGATTATACGTTGTTAGCGAAGGCTGGTTGGCAGCGCTATGGTCTCCACATAGCGCTAAGTGCCAGGTTGGAGGGGAATGAATAAAGCGGGTTCCACATTGGTGGAGCATAGCCGTAAAAACCGATTCGTTTTGTTCTTAAGCGTACGCTCTTGATGTCACCTAGATGAGGTACGGGATAGAAGCTCTCAGGTGGTGTGCTTGTGCTGTGCATGGCCGCTGAAGGTCATGTCAAGTCCTCGTCGCAACCGTTGGTGTTAGCTAGTCATGCGTCCTACTACTAGACTTGTTTTGTGCATGGGTGGTGTTGACATAACCTAATTGCGAGGCCTGGTCGCAAAACCGTCCGTGTCAGGTAGTCATGCGTCCTAATACTAGACTTGTGCTATGCGTGGGTGGTGTTGGCAGAACCTCATCTCGAGGCCTCGTCGCAACCGCCGGTCTCCGTTCCTGAGGGAGGCTTTCCAGGAGTCCTTCGTCACTCCCGCCAACTTCATCCTTCCCCTCTTCATCCACGAAGGTAACTTCCGGTGAAGGCAATTGTGGTTTCATTACGTATACTTGGCTCAAGCCGGTCGCCGTTCCTGAGGGAGGCTTTCCAGGAGTCCTTCGTCACTCCCGCCAACTTCATCCTTCCCCTCTTCATCCACGAAGGTGAGGGTTGACTGAGTGGTGATTGGCGCGTGCTGAATGGTGGTGGGGTTGGTTGAGTTATGCTTTTTGTTTTCGTATCACGACCTTCGTCACTCCCGCCAACTTCATCCTTCCCCTCTTCATCCACGAAGGTGAGTGCTAGATGGGTGGTGATTGCAATCTTGGCATGTTCCCATAAAGAACCAATATGATTCCCACCGAATTCTTGTAAACCTCTTATGATTTGTTTATTACACCTTCATCAAAATTTTCGTCGGAGTCTTGTCAGCCTCTCATAAGCTTCTCACTCGACTTTGATCAGATTGTCATAAATCTTCTCCCCCTATCCCCCTCACCTCGCCGTGGACCCCTCTCCCATTGGCTCCATGCCGGGATGCTACCGCCTCGGCCGGAGGATCGGCCTCGTTTCCTCCCCAACAACCATCCCCAACCCCAAACCTACCCCATTCCCCCCTTTCCCCCTTACCTCGCCAGGCGTGGACGCCTCTCCCATTGGCTCCATGCCCGGGTGCTACCGTCTCGGCTGGAACACCGGGCTTATCGAGGAGGTGTACAAGGCGCGTGACGTGGGAGTCAACCAAGTCGTGCTCTTCCCGAAAGTCCCCGACGCTCTCAAGGTGAGCCCCTAATGTGTCATTCCCCCTCGCCCTTCGAACCGCCCTCTCATCGCCCGGAGGTGTACAAGGCGCGCGATGTGGGTGGGAGTCAACCAAATCGTGCTCTTTCCGAAAGTCCCCGACGCTCTCAAGGTGAGACCCTCATGTGTCATTCCCCCTCGCACTGCGTGTTGACTTTTGAGCCGACTGAAAGGTCAGCGCGTGACGTGGGAGTCAACCAAGTCGTGCTCTTCCCCAAAGTCCCCGATGATCTCAAGGTGAGCCTCTCACGCATCTGCGTGGTCGATGTTTGCAAGGGTGGTTTCCCCTTCTTTAGACCGTTGTGCCGGTTAATAAGTTAAGTTTCTTTGCTCTTGAGCTGACCTGGAAGCGGCTCACAGAGATCCACACGGCGGAGGAGGCCTGCAAGCCGTACGGCATTCATGGAGTAAGCGGCATTCATTGACTAATGTTCCAATCTGCTTCTGCTAACGTGCTTTGCATTCGTACCCACAGACCCCCACGGCGGACGAGGCGTACAACCCAGACGGCATTGTTCCCCGCAGCATCCGCCTGCTCAAGGACAAGTTCCCCTCTCAATTTCAGTGCTTTGCTTCATACTTTGCCTGTTTGACACGCTTTCCCCACAGACCCCCACTGCCGACGAGGCGTACAACCCAGACGGCATTGTTATGCGCAGCATCCGCCTGCTCAAGGACAAGTTCCCCGACCTGGTACGTGCTCCTGAAATGCGATGCGTAGAGCCACGACACGGCTATGTGAGAGATATGTGTTGTTGCCCCTGGCATCGCAGCATCCGCCTGCTCAAGGACAAGTTCCCGGACCTCGTGAGTGCTCCTGCGTTGCAGAAAGATGGTAGGAAGCTATGCGATTCGTACGAAGCACCCCTTTGCTCACTGACAAGTTCCCCGACGTCGTGAGTCTCCTCCTGAGGTCACTCTTACTACCAACGGCGGCCTGTGCTCTGAAATGTGGTTTCGAAACGGAGGGTTCGCCTGCTCCAGGACAAGTTTCTTCTCAAGACAAGTGTTCATTCCTCGCTAACAGTCCATATCATATCACGCTTCTGGAGTTCAGCCTTTAGATGCGTTGTGCTCGTCCCCCGCTCCCTCTCCCTCCCACCACCACCTTACTTACTCTCACTCTCTCCCACCCCCCTCCTCTCCTTATCCACCCTTGCCCTTTCCCCTTTCCTCTCGTACACCCCCCGCTTTGGTGATCTCATCGCTGTGCTACTGACGTGGCGTCTATCCAGATCATCTACACTGACGTGGCACTGGACCCGTACAACTCGGACGGCCACGATGGCATCGTGAGGGAGGATGGTGTGATCATGAACGACGAGACGGTTCACCAGCTGTGCCTGCAGGCCGTGGCTCAGGTATGCTTACATTGATTCTTCTAATAACGAGGACGAATGGTTTGTGAGGGAGGATGGTGTGATCATGAACGATGAGACTGTGCACCAGCTGTGCCTGCAGGGCTCGGGAGAGACTTTATCGGATCAGCTAATAACGAGGATGATTGGTTTGGTAGGGAGGATGGTGTGGTCATGAACGACGAGACTGCACCAGCTGTGCCTGCAGGCCGTGGCAGTGACATGATGGACGGCCGTGAGGGCGCCATCCGTGCTGCTCATGTTACCCCGCACCCAACCCCCCAACCCTGTCCCGCCTTTCCTCCCCCCCCCCCTCTCCACCTCTCCCTTACAACAGGCGTGGTGAGCCCCAGTGACATGATGGGCGGCCGTGTGGGCACAACCACTCGTGCTCATTCTCCCCACCCCACCCTCCTCTCCCCCCTGTTCCAGGCGCGTGCAGGAGCCGATGTGGTGAGCCCCAGTGACATGATGGACGGCCGTGTGGGCGCCATCCGCGCTGCTCTGGACGAGGAGGGCTTTAACGAGGTCTCCATCATGTCCTACACTGCCAAGTGAGTGCTTCTATGGGGGGGGGACACGCTGCCAAGTAGGTGCTATATGGGGGTCCTACTCATAATTGGACGAGGAAGGCTTTAACGAGGTTTCTATCATGTCATACACAGCCAAGTGACTCTATCCATTGCATCCCTCCGCATCCCTTTGCACACCTCTTCTCCTCTTCCCCCTCCCTCTTCTCCATCTCCCCTGCAAGTGTTGCTACCCATTCTGGGACAATGCTTACTCCCAACCCCCTGCTCTGCTGCCATCTATGGCCCTTTCAAGAAATCCCTTGACTGCAACCCCCACTCAGCTGTAACCACTGTCACCATTCTCAACCGCCCTGCATCTCCTTGATTTTCTTCTCTCTTCCACCTCCCCCTGCAGGTCTGCGAGTGCCTTTTATGGCCCATTCAGGGAAGCCCTCGACTCCATCCCCCCTCTGCTGTAACCACCCACCACCCGCAACCA